ATAAATAATTATAAAATGCTGTTGCATAATGCTAGCCAAAGAGAAGAAGGTAGCTGCGAATGCCGACGGGCTGCGTTGGACGACAAATTCGGTACTCTGAAATATCACACGCGACACCAAATAAATCTCGAGAAATACGTTTATTTTAATATTATTATGTATCCTTTAATGTGAGGCATGCTCTCTCGAACAAGATTAAACGATAAAAGGTTACAGAATGTTGTTGCATAATGCTAGGCAACGAGAAAAAGGAGCTACGAATGCCGTGGCTGTTCGCTCGGTGAGAAAATCGGAGCCTCGAAATATGACAAACGACACTTAAACAAATCTCGAGAAATAAATTCATCTTATCATTGTTATGTATCCTTTAATGCAAAGTATGCTCTCTCGAACAAGATTAAACGATAAAGAGTTATAAAATGTCATAATGCTAGGCAACGAGAGAAAAGAGCTATACGAATGCCGTGTCGCCCGATACTAAACGAGTCTCAGAAATTATACGTTGACACAACGCTAATTGTTTCATGAGCTTGTTAATCTCTATTAAATAATTGGAAATTTTTTATCAAAGTAATGTAAGTTATATCTTGCTGTTCCGAGAAAAACACATGCATTACGGGTTTTCTCAATTTACTACGGTGTCATGATCACCGTGGGAAATGAGTTGAAGCGTTTTACGTGCCGCATAAGCGTCACGTAATTGTAATTTAAACAAATATAATTAATAAATATATTAATAATAAACGAAATTTCGTATTTTAATGTTTATAGGTTAAATTTAAACTTTAAACAATTAAAAAAATTTGATCACGTATCGTAGAGATACACAAAAGATCATAACAATGGTTGAAAGTACATATTTTATTTATTAAGAGGTTAGGCGAAAATGGCGATTCTCAGCGTCGAAAACTCGCGTTTAATTCGGCAAAAGTATCAGCATAGCATGTTAAGCAAGGAGGTTGACAGAGGTATTCTAAACGAGGGTGTTGCCTCCCCACATTGCCTCCGCTTAGTCACGCCGCTATTGGTCAGAGCGCGGGAGCCTACTGCCCTTTCTGTGCATACCCGCCAGCGCTCTGATTGGCCGTCGTGGTCGGCTGGGCATCCGTACCGCGCGCCGTTTCGATGGCGGTGGGTAATAAGTGGGGGTAGGCGTGCCGCGCGCGCTGCCGGAATACCAACTTCCTTGCTCATCATGCTTCCCGCGTAACAGGAGCGATTTCTCAGGAATTACAAACGACTGCAAATTCGTTTTGCCGCTGCGCGCTGTTCGAATACCTCCTGCAGTGCAACTTCCTTGCTTATCATGCTTCCCGTGTAACAGGAGCGATTTCTGAGAAATTACAGACGACTCCAAACTCGCGATTCTCGCTTTTCTCACAACTCAAAATGTTTTACATAATTTTTATGATCTTTCAAGCGTGTCAACGAATACATAATGTATTTCTCATTATGACTTAATAATAATTTAATATTAATATGTATTATTGTTTATTAAATTAATATGTACTTATTAATAACATTTGCTTATGTGTGATACATATGTATATATATATAATTCACGCGTACGCATATATGTGTATATTGCAAGATTAACAATAAGATGATAACAAATTGAAATCAACTGTAATGAATGTTTTATCCAACGAAGTATACCTCGTGGTTTCAGGGAGAATAGTTTGTTTCATTAATTAATAAACAAATTAAATATTACAGGTACTATTTTATAATCAGGAGAATCTTCGTATATTGCAAAATCTATTTGATCGGTACGAACACGTGCCGTCATGTTGATTTAATATACGAGTATGTAATAATAATATCCTATCAGTGATTACCGTTGCCGTCGGATCTTTTTTGGTTAAGATATATTAAAAATATTAATAGTACATTGTTTATGCCTTTATGCTAATAAACAATATGCGATTCAAAGATTTTAAAATAAAATGTTTTAAAACGTCATTGAAAAAAAACCACAATAAAAACGTTTCCTAAATCAGCATGCGAATTTTAGAGAATTCTTAAAAAATGACGTTACGTTAACATTGTTATGTGCCCTTTAACATAGTGCATGATCTCTCGAACAACATTAAACGATAAAAAGTCTCAGAATATTTATTGTTGCACAATGCTGGCCAACGATTAATACATTCTTATATGTATCTCTGCAACCACCACAGATATAAACATTATTCAAAAACGACATAAAATATTGTAATTAGCGCTAATGTGATTGCAACGTCATTAATAATACATCTCACATTAGGGAGGAAGCTGTGACAGCGTAAACGACGCTGATTGGAGAAGCAGGAGAAGTCTGCTCTCGCTACTTAAAATAAACCTTATAAATCAGTTAGCAAAATCATCGAAATATTTAAGAATTTTATGGATAGACATTGCCGTGCATATATACACACATACACGCCGCGCGCCGGCATTCCCGGACTCGGCGATCTAGGTCAAGGTCAATTTAGAAAGAAAATCAATAATGTACAGCTGTTCGTCGAAAGTAGGTCAAGGCCATCACTCAAGGCCATGTGTCGCTGGCTTGACGCGAGAAAAAAAAAGTCTTCCCCATCGTTTATCGCAAATATCTGGGAAACCAGAGATGATTCAAAAAGGACTGTTTATTTTATACTCTGCGCTATTGAAATATCTCGATTTTGTTACTAACAATTACGTTCTTCCGTTTATTTAACATGATAAAGCGCGCGCGTGCCGTAAAGATCGGGCGCCAAATGATTTCTGACTTTCATAAAACGCTTATATCTCGCATCGGCAACCGTAAATGATAGAAAGATTTTGTACTTTATACTTTGCCCTATTGATATTACTCAGTTATATTACTCGCAATTATGTACTTTCGTTCATTAAAGCAAATAAAGCGCCCGCGTGCCGTAAAGATCGAGCGCCAAATGATTTCTGCAGACTTTTGTAAAACAGATTTATAAAACAGATTAGATTATATTTTATAAAACACTTATATCTCGGCAACTGTAAATGATTGCCCTATTGTTATTACTCAATTATATTACTCGCACGTATGTACTTTTCGTTCATTGAAGCAATAAAGCGCGAGCTGGCTAAAAGAATCGTGCGCGCCTCGCCATTCATCATTTTCATTAAACGCTTATATCTCGGCAACCGCAAACGATAAAAAGATGATTTAACTATCACTCGTTAGTTTGAAATCTGCCCTATTGGACGTAGTCATTATTAATCCTGGCAATTTTACAGTTTCAATTACTGAGACGAGAAAGTGCGCAAGATCTTAACGAAACGTGCGCCGAGCGACTTTTTATTTTATTTTAACATTTCAGAGAGTTTCGATCCAGGTAGCATTAATGTCTAAAAGACATCATAAAGATGTCTTTAAGATGCCAGAAATCTTAAAGATGTCTTTATGATGTCTTTTAGACATTAATTGCTACCTGGGGACTTTCTCACCGAGAGCCGCCGGACGGTATTCGATCGTGGCTACACGTTTATTTTGCAACAGCATTCTATAACTCATTTCAAGGAGAAGATACTATACGCAAAAATCTTTAAAAAACTTTGATGAGATTTCAATAACAGAAAATTAAACGTTTTAATTTATAACTTCTCTAATTGTTCGTATTTGAAAAAAAAAAAAAAAATGTAAAGCTATTTCCATTTCTTGCTACCTATACAGTGATATTCAGTCTTCAAACGCTGAAGCAAGAATGGGACGGGAGGCAGACGCGAGGCGATCTTTCAAACTCGTTAGAGCATGAAAAAAGATGTGATTATAATTAATTTATATAAAGAACACCATGGTTGAGTTAAAGGTAAGTGTCGCAGCATCAAAAATATTCAGACAATTTATTATTATATCACGTTATGTGAGTGAAATTTTAATCTTGCCCTAACCTAAACGTTGTATTTTGTTTTACAATTGGTTACATTTTTTTCACATCATGTTTAAAATACAAAGCATTTTCTTTCTGACTGTTCACTCGAGTGGCTCACGAACTCTTTCTTCGCAGAGGAGCAACACTTGGTGCGTTCCATCATTTGACTGCGAGCCTGTAAACAAACCTCCGCTGAAGCGTACCGATAACACGGATTTAGACAAGACTCTTTTCGACGGATCATTTACGCAAAGTAATTTCAAGAAAAGAAAGAGTGAAACCAGCTTGTCGAAGCTGCTTCAGGCATGCGAGCCACAGAGGGCCTCCGAACTGGCAATCAGCAAGCAGAAACAGAACGAGATCCAGAATTGGCTTCAGTGCAAGGCGTTAAAGGGACAGCCTTCCATGCTGATCCTTTCCGGTCCTTCTGGCTGCGGCAAGAGTGCAGCTATAAAATTGCTCGCCAAGGAAAACGGTTTCGATGTCATAGAATGGATCACGCCGGTCGATCCGGCTGAAGATGAGAATAGTAACGATCACCGTTTCCAAATTTAGGCTATTTCCTAATACATGTAGCTTGATTCTTAATTTCTAATTATTTTCAGAACGCATAATGCGGCAAGGAGACAGATTCGAGGATCACCTGATACGTGCGACGCGTTATCACTCAGTATTGAGCGACTGTTCCAAACAATTGCTCCTCGTTAAGGACATCCCGAATGTCTATCACGAGGATTGCAAAGGCTTCTTCACGCTCCTGGAGTGAGTAACGTTACCGCTTTACAATCGTTTAGATCCTGTCCAGATCATCGCGATATTTTTCTTTACACAAATATCTCTCTAGAAAATATTTCCAAATAGGAAGAGAACCTGTGATATTTGTCTGCACGGAGACCGGAAATTCGAGACTGTTGCACACATTATTTTCACCTGACACGAGGGAGAAGCTCGGTATTGATCTCATCAAGTGAGTCGATCGTAATTCCAGAGAAAAACCAACAATAAGTATTGATTCTCAATTTTAAACGTAATTTGATGTATGTACAGTATGTACGCTGCCACTCCCACCGCAATGAAGAACGTGCTGAAACGAGTGTCCAGCACATTGAATTCCATCGCCGGCGACATGCTGCACGTCTCTCAGCGACACATCGACGAGATATTGTCCAACAACATCGGCGACGTGCGCAGCGCCGTTCTAAATCTAATTTTCATCTCTCTCAGAGGTATGCATTGATAATTATAATCGAACCAGTAAGCACGAGTCTACATTCTCCCTATAATTATTAGTGCCCGAGCAACGGCTGAAGAGCGAGTGCGGGGTACGAGAGGAAACCTTGGGTCTGCTACACGGCATCGGAAGAGTCACGTTTCCGAGAAGTAATTGGATTTCCCTTCCTGTATCTACCGAATTCATTTCATGAATTAATCGCTGTATTAATGGATTTATATTTATATTATAGAAGAGCCGCACGGCAACTCCAGCAAGTTCGTACACGATCCCGAGGAAATAGCGGCGTGCTTCCAGTCGCAGTCGGTGGTTTTCGTCCAATTCCTTCAGGAAAATTACCTGAATACCATAAGAACCATAGAGGAAGCCGCGATAGCGTCTGATATATTGAGCCTGGCTGATGTTCTAAATTCTGAATGGCGTGTAAGTCAGATTAAAACGTTACTTTTGTCTATATACGTAAAATCATTATTATTATTATTAATATATTCCATATTACGGCAGGATCGCAATTTGAGCAAAGTTGCATTGTCGTACAGTATCCGTGGCTTGATGCTGACGAACGAGAAGCCTGTAACTGGCTGGAATCCAGTGAGAAAGCCGCGGGATGATCACAGTAACATGCAAGCATCAGAATATATTAATGATTTTATTATATTCTATTTTGCCGACTGTGTATTTTATATTTCATGTCCATTTGCAGACGAAGGTGTTTGGTGACGGCAGAAACGCGCTGTTACGAAGTTATAATTAAATCCACTCCGAAGGAGAAGACTGAAACATTGGATAAAGAGGACAATGAGGAGACGATTATCGAGGAAGATTAGAGCGCACGTTGAATTAAGTTTCCCCTTCCCTTTATTATAACTTTATTATAAAATGAGAATAATTGGAAACACTTTGTTCATTGTAGAAATTTTAAGTTAACTTATTTCTTTTTTTATTTTTATCGCGTCAATTAAATTTAAGTGCAGAAGGTACAGTGTGATTTAGCAATAAAGAAAACAAAACTTCAATTTGTAACTGAACATTTGGTACTTTTCGCCTCTTTTCCTTTTCTCTCTCTCTCTCCTATGTCGAATTGCGCGCCCGTTCCAAGTGCAGAAAGTGTAACAAAACCGCGTGGTCCTCGTACTCCGGTACTCCTCGTGTTGTATCGCTAGGTTATGTTAATTCTGTCCTGTTGAACTTGTCGCACGTGTACGTAACAGTGCGCCTGCAACATTTCATATTCTCACTTAAAAACGAACTCTCGCTGCGCTATTGAGACATGTATATCGCTGCGTATATCGTATCGTCTGACTGATCAAAAGAATTTGTGTAAAAATTGTTATAAAGAATGGCAGTGAGGAAAAAACGCGGACGGCGTGGTGGCCACGCATCACCGCGAAAAGACGAAACGAAGACACCGAATATCGGTAGCGAGACGCGAGCCAAGGATACCCAGGACAAAAACAAAAAAGCTCTGGTCGTCGCGCAGGAAATTAAGATCGCGCGATTGTTGGCTAACAATGACAAAAAGGTTCGGGACAAGGTGCTGAAGAGGCTGAATAAATGGTTAACGGTACGATCGCAGAGTTCGTTCGGTGAGTCAACTTGCGACACGCTTACGTAAATAATTAACACGTGATTAACGTAAATGTATCTGAACATAAACACTTAGCGTCTATTCACAGTGTTCACGAAAGTGGACTTCATGAGCTTGTGGAAAGGCCTGTTTTACTGCATGTGGATGTCGGACAAGATGTTGATCCAGGAAGAGCTGGCGGATTCGCTCAGCAAACTTGTACACTGCTTGAATTCAAGGGACACCATTGTACTTTATACTAGCTGCGCTCTACGGACACTCGCCACCGAATGGTTCGGCATAGATCAGTATAGACTGGACAAGTTTTCCATGGTACTTTCGTCATTTCAGATACATCTTGTAACGTACATGCAGGGAATACTTTGAACACTCAAAAGCGATATAATCTTACTTCGGTTTTCTTGCAGTTGGTCAGGAGGATCCTTCGTCAGACGTTTATAGTCTGTAAGAACCAATCGTGGGACGTGGAATGGGTTACAGAGATTTCACGGATGTTCACGCGACTCTTTTTACATCCGAAAACTGGTCTAGGATTCAATCTGCACGTGACGGAGATATATCTGGAGGAACTTGCCAAAGTAAAAAAGAATGACAAAACATTCGGAGCAAATCACTTTGTCTAACTTTTAATAAGAAGTTGTCGTTTATATTATTTACCACGTAGGTTAGCAATGGAAATATACCGGAGGATGTAGTCCACGAACTTGTTAAACCGTTTGCTGAATATCTAATAACCACAAGTGACGAAAGACAGATGGGACATATCATGAAACACATTTTTAGACGCTTGATATTTCAATCGGATATTGGTTTAGACTACATGGAGAAATTCAAAGCTTGGAAAGACGTAAGTATATATCTAAAACACAAAACTATATTTCAGTATGCAACATAACGTATATTTGTTAATCTATAAACTTATGTGTTTTAAACAGGCTGGCTTTCCCTGCGCACGTATAGACGATATGCAGAAGATCGAGATATCTGACACAGAGGAAAATTCTGACAATGAAGGCAAACAGTCTTCCGAGACTGAAATCAAGAAGCCTTTAGATCCAAGAGCGGGTAGAGTGGATGTCGAACTAGCGCAGATACCTTTTAATGCCGCGAAGATTGCCGAGTTGCTCTCGACGTATAAATTTCATCCGTCGTCAACGGCAAAGTCGCGCAGACAGCTCTTGAGACTTCTTGACGAGTATGCATTTTATTAATCTATCGAATTACAAGTTACACTTGATCCATTATACTTTCGTCTTGAAAAATAAAATTTATATTTTCAGATATAAAGAATTGTCGCAGGGAAGGATGCCGCTCGGGATAAAGAGAGTCAGAAAACCAAAACCTCCGAGAAAAGAGACGGATTCGAAAAAGGCCGCGTTGCGTCTCATTCGGTTTGAGAAAAATTTGCTTTCCGACAAGAAGAATAAAAAACGAAAAAGAGAAAATGGAACAGCGGTTTGTGATCAAATTTCTGTTAATCCAAAAAATGGAGATGCTTCAGATCTAGAGTCTAATGCTATTGACTCGGAAAGCGAACTAACCGATACAACTGCAGCGACGAAGACCGATTTGAAAGATACAGATGCAAATACAGTACCATTAAAAAAACGGAAAAGAAGTAATTCAACGTGTGATATACCTAGCCCTAGATCTGAAATTATTGAGAGCAGGAAGAAGCTGCGAAAAGAAGCTTCCAAAAAGATTAAAACTACAAAAATTAAATTAAATAAAAAAGGTAACAAATCTACGACAGATAAAAATATAAAACGTGAAATGAAAAAAGCGGTAACTTGTGACGTACAAACATCTGACAATATAGATCAATATACTTCTATTTCGCCAATTTCCAGCAAAAAAAATCAAGTCACAGTAATTAATCCTGTAGCCAAGAAAAAAATATCGAAAAGCAAGCACCGAGACGTGCCATTAAAAAATGTAAATACAAATTTAATGTTATAATTAATACTGCTATCGTAATGCGTTATAAATTATATGATCATTCATTGTCTTGTTACAGGAACTACCATGTCAGATAAAGAAGCAAACCAATTTAAATAATTTTTCGATGGAAAAGAAAAAGGTAATATTCGGGCTCTCTCGGAATACAGCGCAACATACATCCGAGTATCTTCAACAAGTTCGTAAAAGTCCAGGTATTCCGTTTGACGCAAATAAAAAACCGTTGGCCAGCGTGCTGAAAATAAGTCCTATACCAAGTCCACTTAATCCATTTTACAAAAAATGATGCAAGAGATATCACGGGATTGAGCCTTCCCGTGAAACTGATTAGAAAATTAAGTTCAATTTTCAAGTAATTAATAAGAACTGGATTTGTAAAATTCTTTGCTTTAGAATTTTGAGTGAGTTAATCGAATTTTGTTAGCGGTGCAAGATGCGAAAAACTTGGCTCTCCTACTGAAAACATTTTACTGAAATATCAAGAAATTTATACATATGTTTGCAATTAATAAAATCGCAGTTAATTTAAGATTATCTCTATACATTTATTTTAAATCCATTATTTTTTAATCAAATGGCACAAACAGTAGCATAAATATGTACATTCTAAATACGATCGTTTTGCAATAGAACATAGATTTTTTATTCGCGGGTATTCATTTTTTTTTCAGTTTGAAGCGTTCTATTTCTGCGTTTTGTTTATTGCACAACGATCAAAGTAGGATATACAGATTTATAACGCTCGAATACAGATATACAACTTAATACACCACATATAACATTACAGTCTTAAACACTGTATACGACGCAGAATATGCTGTTACATAAAATATTTGTGTTAATATATTAGTAATACACGTAACAATTTTAGACATTATACGCACTTCACATCATTATACGATAATCTAATTAACATCTATTTGCACAGAAAAATTTTAACACATTTCACTAAGAACTCGCTTAATTTATCAATTTATAAGACATTTACTGGACATCATTTGTAAGACAGAGAGGTTATTACAATCAATTTATAATTTTAATTACATTGTTAGAGCTATATAAAAGACAAATGATTAATTTTTATTTTATATCGAATATACGACATGCCAGGTACAGTACAGCTACACTCACTGCGCGTGAATGAACTCTTATAAAACTATTTTGACTGCTTATATCACTTTGGCACGTGAATTCACTTTTAGTTATGCTCGAAATTTTTCGGTAATTAATCTACATTTTATCGAGACTACTCGAAAAAAATAAATATTTTCTAACATACTATCAACTATACGAGTTACATACGTAAGTACTCCTTTAAAAACATTTAATCATAGATTACAATACTTGATGTAACGTGAGATATTCCACAATAATTAGACCTTTAGTAAAATATTTTTTATCTCTGAAGATGGTAGTGAAATTAATTAAACACAAATTTTCCGCATCCATTTGAAAGTCATCAATTTAGATCCCCGAATTCATTAAGAATCATTGGTTACAATTTAAAAAAAAAAAAAAGAAAAGAAAAGAAATCTTATGTAAAAATGACATCTAAATATAGAAAACTATATATTAAAGATGTCCTACTAATCATATTATATCTTTTCGAATAATTTCTTAAACATTTTATTCTACTCTTAAAAGTAACGGAGATATTTTAAATAGTAAAAATAAATGGACCATCTTGTTATATGTTGTATATGTTGTTTGTGTGTGTGTATCTTAATATTCAATTTATTTGTATCAATTTTTATTAAAAATTTATTGGAGTAAAAATTAGTATTTCTTTCAAAGCGTTATTATTTCGTCAGTAAGTCTCCGAAAAATTTATATATGTTTTATAAATATAGACATTTCCATTAAATATATTCCTGTTAAAAATGCATTTTCACTTTAACATTACTGTCAACACAAATCACCAATGTTTTGTACGTGTGTGTGTTTATGTGATTAGAAATCCGATCGTCACTTAAAAAGAGAGGCTGATAAATACGGCTGATTACATTTGCTGGAAAAATTGAGTGCCGAGATATATAATTTCAATAGTGATTCAATTACAATCAAAATCGATAACAGAAGTGTCGCTTGCATACCGGTGTTCTCTATAATTTAGCACGGAACAATGGGCTACGATTATCAGAGAACTATATACTCTTATCTCTTATACGCTACCATGTTTTTAAAACGCTGCGACAAGGGACATTATAAACGTAAAAGGATTAAAACAGTGCAATTATATTGCAACTAGCGATGGACTCCAAATATATTAAATCCCGTTAGATACGAAACTGTCGAGTCATTTCGAATATCATTCGAAGCCAAAAGATGTCTGAAAGTCTTGAACATTTCGAAAATCTCGAATGTATCAAAAATCTGAAAAGTCTTGAATATTCTGAAAATATATCTTCTTTTTCATGTAACATCGTACGTTACTGTTTCAATCTACTTTCCGATTTATATTTAAGAAAAGCAATTTTAGACATCTATAATGTAGATAATTGTTTCTTTTAAAATTTTATACATTTCTAAGAATGTCTCAGACATTTAAAGAGTTCTTAAGACTTACAATTTTTCAAGACTTTCAAGAATTTCCGATTTCAAATAGCACGGAATAATATGTAGAAGCAATATCTTTATATGATCGAACAGTTTGGAAACTTTCAAGAGAAGGATATCCATCGCTGGACACGATTACATTTAAATTGCGATATTGCACAAGAGTTTTGAAATTACATCTGCTCTTCTCCTAGCATTATACCATCTTATACACAGTATTATCACAGAGACAAAGAGCTACGCGATTCCCTAGTGACGTTCAAAAGAAAAATATATTCTCGATTAACTAACATTTAGCTCAGAAGGAATAGTTTTTTCCAGCGCCAATACCACCCGATCTCAATCTGATTGAAGCACGTGTTGAGAATCGACAGACCGATGAAGAACAATGCGTGAATCAGGGTCCACAGCTGGAAGATCGGAGAAACGATGAGTAGAAGCACCGTCATCCCTAAAAATAAAATTTACCTTTCGTTATCGTTTCCCGCGGTTGACGGGCAAAGGTTTTTATTCACCTGTTAATATGCTCCAGAATCCGAATGCGGCTCGTAACGGCAGCGTCTTCGTCATCGGCCAGATCTGGCTGGAGAACGCCTTCCGCTCGTAGAATCCCTTCAGGATCGCCTCCTTGTCGGACCACCTGTCCTCCAGCCACCTCCTCAGGGTCGAGTCATCGTGCGCCGGTATATCCGCGGACGATATCCGTCTTATGTGGAAGTGCACCTCCCTCGGGAACTTACCTCTGATCAGATCGACCTCGGACTGCGGTATGTAGTCCGGATACGCTATCGTCAGATCGTACACGGCGTCGAGGTAACTCGCGCGCTGCAGATGCTGGACCAAGTAGGCGAACCCGGTCGTTTTCGGATGGAGGGTGTAGGTATAACGAGGCAGATTATGCTGCAAGGCGTACTTGTCCGACCTTTCCCTACTGGTCTCCGTTAAATCAGTGCCTTCGGGGAATATCAGCAGCTGCGTGCGGCTATCTAACGCGATCAGGTAATCGAGCGTACGCGACAATCGGCCCCGATCCTCTTCCCAACGTCGCGTTATGTAAAGGAAACCATTCATTTGCATTATCCATCCTGTTACAGACGCACGTGTTACAGACGTGTGGGAGCACATATACGCAATACACCTTCGTAAATATAATCAACGTAATAATTCGTATATCGCGTTTGGAACGTTACCTGGGCCAGGAATGTGCCGTATAGGATCCTTTAAAATAAACTTCAACTTATGACACCCGACACTGGGCAGGCATGCTTGGTACATCGCCGCCCATAGGAAGTTCCAGTCCACTCTCGTTCTGTGGTTCATCACAAGCACGGCCGATTCATTAGGAGATATATGATCGCCAGACACATAGATCTTTACACCGAATGCCCTCAATAGAGCCTGAAACATTTATAATCCTATTTATAATCTTGTTACACTTACAATATAATGACAAAACACAAACAACTTTTTAGAAAATCTTTCCTTGGAAGTTTTCGAACATCGATGTTAAAATTCTTTAAAAAAAAATTGTTATTTACTGTATTAAAAAGTAGAGAGTAGATAGAAATAATAATGTAAAGTGTAATATAAGAGGAAAGACGTATCTTTAAAACATTCAAGAGACCTTTAATTAAATACATAAAAAGTAGATTTTTATGAAGTAAATTTTAAAGTAATTCGATGCGTTTCTAGGGCTTTTATTTGTCGTTAATTCAATCGCGAACAATCTGTATAATTATCCAGATTTGCAGTACTTACAGTAGGATAAAGTTCCCAGCACGAGAATAAGAGCTCTCCGCATTTTCGAAATCTCGGTGGACTGAACAACAGCAATGGCAAGAGCGGGCAGGCGATAAATAAAAAGCCTGCTACTATACTACCATACCACAGAGCACAGTACAATGTACCACGTAAAAATCCGCGCATTACAGTCTGGGGATGGATATCCTGAAAATGATACAGAATATATCAGTATGAGCGCAAAAAGTAATTAATAATCGTGAATTTAAGTCGCAATTTGCGTTCGTGTTCGCAAGAGGAGAGGACACGGTTGATTAGTCATCGATTTTGAAATATTTTCACATTTATTTTTAAAGCTTCATAAATTTATACATCCGACATTTTCTTAACAATAATGGAACACATATGTTTTGTAAAGATAATATAATGTGGGACGTAAAACACATTAACGCGATAAAAAAAAAAAATTATTATTTACAAAGCATTGGACGAAACTCAAGGACGCCCTCGGACGCGGATCAATTTATTTTCAACGTAGATTCATCACGTGCAAGGGGATCAAAATCGGTGATTAGTCAAAACGTTCACCTCCCGAGGCCGATTGTTATATAATAATAATTTTGCAAAAACTCCGAAAATAATACTTAGCATTCGATATACAGAATGTAAAAAGATAGAGATTTAATTATATATTTTTGCGCTAAAAAATAGAAATTATAGACGAAAACGATGTCTCTGTGAAACTCACCTTCACATGTGCACCGTGCAATTGAAGCACCCTTCACGGACATTGGATCTTGACTGTTTCCTCATGAAACGCCGTGTCTTCACTGGCTTCCTCCGGGTTCTATTAGAGGGGTTTCTCTCTGCTACCCCTTTCACCCTCGCTCTCTATCCGGCCTTTGCCACCGAGCTGGAGGATGCTGTGTCGGACCATTATTGATCTGTTGAGCGTAGGGGCTGTACGATCTCAATGGAGAGATTGGAGAGTCCTGTAACTGATAATTAACTTACACGATCTTATACGATTGATATATTTTTATTCCATTTTAGTTTTTTAGTGTCTAATTTTAATATATTTATTTTCCACATCGCTAAATATTGTGTCGTCAAAAAGATGTTTATTCACATAAGTTAGGTATATTAAACATATATACAATTTTTGGTACATATGTGTCGGTTGTTTCACTATATATACCTGCGAAATAAAATATTACATTTAAAATTATATGTAAGTAAGAGGGAGAAGACAGAAAAGAAGGGGAAGATGGAACGGACGGAGAGAGAAGCTCCCCATGCACTGGAGGGAGAGAGATGTGATCATTGACGAAAGTTTTTAACCATAAAATAACTACGCTCAACGGTGCTTATCATGTTGTATCATTTATTAGGAAACAGACAATAGAAAGATAAAACCAACATAATAAATTTGTAAGTCTATATAACTGACAGAATAAACCACGCTAGGCCCAAATATTTATACAGTAAAATGGCGATTCTAAAATGTATTTTATCACAAAATTATTTCCTAAAACATCCCACGCTGCTTCGTATCTTTTTTATTCCGAAGACAAATAGCGATCACTTTATACAGTTTCATATAAAAGTTTGTCCAGAGTTAAAATTGTGTACCTCCCGCCCTATAATTAGAATAACTTGTATACGCTTTTCTTTCCCCTCACATTCACCTGCGAATCCTTTACGTTCATCGCGCGATTAATATATTTGTAATATATGGAATGGATACATTCTCAGATCTATAAAATTTAACGTTTCCGCTATTGATATCCCGAGTACTTGGCAAGAAGTTGACGCGCATCGTTCTGTATTCTTTCATCCTCTTCGCTCGTAACTGATAAATCGCAAATTTTCTCCAGCCACTGACAGGCCGGTTTATAGTTGCTCAGTGCTATGTAACATTTGCTTAGAAACAGCCAGTTCTCCAGATTTACTTTGACTGAAAAGTCCTCCGCCTTCTGGAAGCTATCAATCGCATCTTCGTACGAGGCACTTGGCGGCTCCGAAAATAAAGTCGCAGCAATCTGCACAAGCAAAAATAAAATTAATTATAATACTGCAAGTTCTGCTTCATTATGTGTAATTTCTTCGAGCTGCAGGTTCTTTAAATCAAAAATTTACTTTCCCTCAAGTAAAAACATTTCCATATTATATATCTTGTGACTAAGATTGAAATTAAAATTCCATTAAAATAATTTACTTAAAAATTGAAATATAATCTTATTATTTATTAATTTAAAGCAGCGGTCGGTTTTAATTGCAACTTTTGGCCTGATTTTCGTCTATTGTCCCCCCTTTGTTGCTGGCGTCTTAATTAAATGTTCCGTTTCCGGAGTCATCCGAGCTACGGTGAAACATGTACCTTTCTCTCTATCCAACTCAAGTTGGCCACCTCGTATTTGAATCTGCCGAGTAGATGATGCAGGTCAGCATCATTCGGACGCATCTCCAAGGCTTTCATAACGTGCTCCTTGAAACGGTAACCGTTCTTTATCTTCTCAGCTACCGGCAAAAAATCACCGTTTACGCCAACGAGTATGCCGCACCATTTGTGCAGATCTGCGTTTTGTACGTCGAGAAGCTTTTCGCAGGCGTCAATTCCTGAAACGACAATTCGTCGCAATTGAGTGACTCTGTTAAACGCGCGATCAACGATTCCATCAAAGTTACGCATAATTTTTCGGTTATATACCTGCACAAATAACGGCTTTTCTTACATTTGCGTCAGTGGTGCAATTTGAATATTTGTAACAACTTCTGGCATATCTCCATACTACGTCTACACTATCTGGATACGTGTCTACGAGATTTCGTAGTTCAAGATAATCATCCTCTTCGTGTCCACCCCGTTGGTGATGCGCATCGAGAGCGGAGAAGTTTAATCCAGGGCAGGTGGCTTCAGTTGTCCTGCATCACTAAGCGTATAATCTTTCCCGTTTATGTTTCGAGTTATAATTCCGGATAAGTATGATAGAGACAAAGCAAAATTTCATGCACATATAAATTCTTTTGAAAAGAAGCCTGTGAATATTAAACTTGTGTGCGCAAATAGGAAAATCTTTGATTTAAAGTGCGGTCAATTTAATGTGCAATAATGCGAAACGTTAAATCGAACTTGCAACCGCGACACGCATGAACGCCTAGATAATATGTTAAACTGACCTGTTCTCGATGTCACTTATACCATTATCGCTGTCCGAACAGTCGAAAAATTCTTCGTCGCCAGCCGTCGAGAAATCCACGTCGGTATCATTGTCTGTTGTAGCGTACGTAGTATCGTTCTCGCGTTTAGGATTAAGCTTCTTCTTCTTTCTCTGTTGATTTTGTTGTACTCTAAAAATAAAGATTATTTATCATCAACTCAAATTAGACAAAGACATAAAGTATTCCTGGAAAATATTCATTCAAATTTTGCCAACTTGCTCTAACAATCACCTTAATAAAAAAAAGATACAAATATAAATTCGTACATGCCTTCTTCTCAAACTATTAATGTTAACAGTTGGACAACAGTGAAGGACTTGTAATGTCTAAATAAATTAGCGTCCAATCAGTCATGATGACAGAATAAACTGCAATTTGGCCAACTTTACGAGCATCCTATACATCTTGAGCAAAGAGGAAGCATTCGCTGTACCTCAGTCTTTCTAATTCTGTTTGCAGTTCGGTGAGGCGACGATCGACTTCATCCAGATGAGCGTTCTTCCCGGCATGCTGCTGCTTCTCCAAGACCTTCTGATAAATAAAGATACTGGCCGCACTGATGACGCCGATAGTCGCTCCGATCGCGGCGGCAATCAAATTGGTTTGCAGCTGGTTGCTCATCTTGTCCGAGGAGAGGCTCCAGTAGCCAGTATTCTAGAAATATAGAGACAAGCTGGAGTTACATCTGATGGCAAACGAAGAAAAAAAACGTTCTGAAGTCAGTGTTGACGTACTCAATGTACCCACCGTTTTTTTTTTTGCAAAGTGTGACCTGGTGACGGTGCGAATTCAAACGACGTCTTATCGAACGTCACGACCTTTCGCCCGGGCACGGTGTACCATGTTCCGATTGTGTTTTACAGCGAAGGGGGCCACCGGGATCTCGCTCGCGCCTTCCTCGAGAGGCGTCCGTCAACCGGTCCCCGACGAGGGGTCGATTAACCCCGGTGATCCGTGTGTCGAGGGAAACCTCCTCGATGACCACGTGCCACTTTTTCTCCTCCCGGCAACGGTGCAGGCGGAATGACAGCGCACGTACCTACGTGCGTATCGCGGCCGAAGGGCAATCGTGACAAACTGTTTCACGAGCACGATATAATTCGTTACGTTACATCATTATCTCTCTCTTTTCTCTCTCCCTCTCTCTCTCTCTCTCCCCTCCTTCCCCGAGAGGTCCGCCGGTGGCGTGTACGAACCTCCCCGTTCTCGTGATAGATCCCACGACTTTCGATTTAAATCCTTGGTCTGAATAATTCCTAGCTCTCCTCCGTCTTCCTCTCTTCTCGCCGCATGTCTCGCTTCTCCATGTGCGCCGATTTCCGATTTCTCGATCGGCGAGATCTAATTCAACCTTAATTTGTAACGCACAAACGTCGGCCGGCGCGAACGTACTACATTCGTTGTCGTGTCGCCGATATCGAGAATTGCTGCAAGTCATCCCCACGGCGCCGAGCGCGGGCCACGTCGATAAGTTACCGCTATGATGGCCCAATTTCGCGCTCGCTCGGCGCGTATTCCTCCCCCCGGTCGTCCGGAACGGACGGGGGTGCGACCGGGCGTTGGAAATTTACCGGACGGAACGGCGACGTCCGAGAATCTATCAGAATTGCGGGCAGCGAGTCGTGTCCCGGTTAACGTCGATTTACGGCGTTCCTTATTCGCGATGCATCCGTGGCGAAAAACCAAGCGACTTATTATTTTATATACTCGTTATTTAAATTATATATTATATTTAAAACATGTAAGATGTGATTTAAATATTAAGATGTATAATGTAGATATAATATTAAGATACATTACATTTGAGATTATTTAAAATTAAATCTCAGTATATACCACAACTCAATATATAAACTTAGAAGACTTAGATAATTCTCTTGATTATTTAAAATTTAGATATAATATAACTTAAATAATCCCATTATAGGAGGCACTTAAAGGTTTTATATTAGGATTTCTATCAAATTTTTTTTCTCTAGTTATAAGTTATAGAATTAATTACAAGACATTAGCTGCGATAACATAAATAAAGAAAAAAAAAGAAACTGAATATCGATCAAGCACGATCCGAAAGGGAGGTATATGTTTCTATCGTATATTTTATCATACAGTATCTTCCTCGTGTATATCTGTATTACGAACTTAGGCATTTACAGAGAAAGCTCTGTATAGAAGCAGTTATAAAATTCAACGTGCATAAAAAATATGAGGATCGATCGTTCAGAGAAAAATTGCATACCCGGACAATATTCCTTTCGAATTCATGTACATTAAGTATACAAAGCATTTGCGGCAGGAACGAACCCTTTTTTTCGAAACCATCCTCCTCGCTATAAAGCCAATTCTTTTTACACTTTTTATACATTGTCTAACTAAGTAATATTTTAAATCTTGATTTATTCGCGTCGCAGATTCTCGAGTCTGGCCTGTAGGTCCGCGTCGGCGTCCGCGAGATTGCCCCCGTCGCCCTCGTTGCCCGCCGCGGCGGCGACCGGCTGCTTAGAGCCGGCTACGCTCAGTGATCCGGACGCTTGTGGTAGCCCGGAGAGTTGATCCGTCAACTGCAGACCCAGCTCGTCCAACACTTGAGAGACCACAGCATCGCTGGGAAAACAGAACGTCAATGTGTAGATGTTTTATAATAATTTTTACACATAAATTTCGAATCTAAATTTGAAAATTCAATAATTATGCGATTTGCACGTAGAATTGATGTATATGCGTAAAAAATGCTCGATACCTTTCTTCCTCGTCTCCCTCATCCTCCATCGCGTCGTCTATCGCGTCGTTCATGATTTCTTCCTTCATGTCCATTATCTCCGACTGCTTTTCGAATTCTTGTAATATTTTCTGTATTTGTGGTAGGTTTAATTGTCTATAAAGAAATAAGAAATTAAATTAATGTTTCAAAACATGCTAAAATAAATTATTAATTATACTTTGATTCCAACGAACGCAAGAAGATTGTATAAACAATGAAAACTATTGACACGCTAGTGTTGCACTTACTTGTTCATATTTTGCATCGCTTTGGTCACTCCTTTCATCGCCTGTGCCATCGTATTCTGAGAACGTAGGGTTTGTATCTTTAACGACACGGCTTGAATATTTGCCTTCATCAGCATAAACTTCTTCACGTAACGTCTCGTCCTGACCAGATCTTTAGCCATAATTTTCACAGCGTCCTAAAATCCATATGAAAAAGATTGCAAGATGGTATAAGTAAATACGCAATTGGACAAAAAAGTCGTGGATTTACCATTTGCCCGTCTTTCGCAAGTTTCTTTATATCGACAATAATTTTCTTCTCCTGCTGCTCCATCCTCATTTTTTCCCGATCCAAATCCCGCATCGCCTTGTTCAATGCTCTTTGGTTCTTCCTGAGCATTTCCTCAGGCGTGATACGCTTGCCGAATAACCACTCCATGCTGGTGCTGGAAAATCATAGTACATCGTACGTTAAACAAATGTGACGAAAGTGTAAAAATACAAACTTACAACTGTGTCAAACGAACTTAATAACACAAGATACAGTACTTATTCGTTATACAGGCGCCACTTGTAAAATAAATATAAATATGTATGTATAACAGTAAATTTAGGTACCATTACTTCAATAAATAGCTAATTTTTTTTGTTATTTCCCTTGGATGAGGAGTAAGGTGCCTTCAGCTCCTCCTTGGAGCTACATGAACACAACGGAGTTAACAATTTCTGGAGTTAACAATTTAACAAGTAAATAGGTTAATGATTGCTTTCAAGTACTTTCAAGTAGAAAAACATGTAAGTGGCGCTCGTACAAGTTCCCAAAATACACATAAATACGTGAATACAAAAACGTTATCTCAAAAAACATACCTTGAAGACACCTCGTTACTTCGGAGATGTCGATATCTCCAATATTTACCCGTTATTCGGGCAGTGACGCATAAACGTCAGAGCCGTGAAACCTGCGACCTGCGACTTCACCAGATATTCCCGTTGATGCGTATCTCGTTCTACCTCGAGAAATTCACGCGGACCTCAGGCGGTACCGAGAATGACATCACGAACGGCGTTAGCGCCCTTTTGACAGATTACTCAAGATTACTGCAGATCACGTATATACATACAACCCTGGCGACCAATAATCATGGATCAAGAAGCGACTGCCGTGACTGGATTGGATATTTCCCGAGAGATTTCGGACTCCAGAGAGGTTATCGTCGCAGCGACAAACATAAGGGCAAGGGGGTGGGGAAGATACGCCATATTGCGCACGACCGTCGGTCCGCGAGATTTAATCGCAGCAAAATTAAAATAAATATATAATTACGGAGCTTATAATATCTATAAAATGCCTATAAAAATGTAATTACAAGCATTCTGTAAAATATATTAGAGATATTAAACTACTATCCACAGAACATATTATCATCAGAAAAAAATAAAAGGAATAACGCGAATTTTAATATATTCATCTGCAGTCGTTTAAACAAACAATGCGATTACTTATACCAATTTGATGATATATCACATGAAACAATATGTTTATGTAATTTTTAAAATATTTCCATTGCGTCCGACAAAAAAAGAGACAGCTCGATTCCAATAATTTTCAATGTTGAAAGATATGCAAAACACAACAATGTTTGTAATATATATGTACAGGGTTTGTGTATACGTATAGGGGGATTATCCCATTTTAAAAAGCAAACCTAGATAACTTCGAAGAGTTTTGTAAAGGAATTTTTATTTTTCTACATAACCACCGTGTGATTTTTGAGATTTTTCTTACACGATAACTCTTCCATTGATTTTTTTTTCCTAGAGTTATTTAGGTGTGAGTTGTAAAACAGGGCACCCTGTATATTGCACAAACAGTAAATTTATTAGATATATCGTAAGCATATAAAACTTACATATATATAACTCGCATCTTGTGTAAAAGCACGGTATATATGTAGACGATTTTATTTACGTAAATAAATTGACATTCGGAGAGAGAGAAATTAGGTTTCGCAAAATCATTTTCGCTACAACGAATTAGTTTTAATTGCTCTCGTCCTCTTTATTTTACAAGTATTCGCTTTCAATCCCACGCTTTCACACGAAGCTCCGGTTCGAGAATCGACCAGTTCGGCGAATGTTTCTCACTGGACAGCCAATTGAAGTCGTCGATGCAGTTCCAATTGTTAATCTTTGGATCGAGGCCGGCTAGATTAAAGTGACTCGTCTGATCTTCGTAAGACCAGTTGTAAGGTGCTACGCGTATCTTCGTACAATCCTCTATGATCGCCCTACTCGTGACGTGCAAATAAATGGTACAGTCCGTCGACGAGTGCAATCGCAGCTGTTGGCACGCGAATGCGAATACACAGTCACTGCAGTCGTGCGCGAAAACGGAGGACGTCACCGGTCCGACCAGTACGGTGCACTGCTTCAGGTTCACCATGTGCAGGGTGCTCGGCGTGCCGTATATCCGTATGGTACAGCGAACCAAGTCGGAAAGTAGGATGTCGTTCTTATTTACATTCTCGGCGTCCAGTACCATTCGCTCGTTCACCTTGCCCAACAGCATGCAGGCGCTGTCCCCGTACTTGCTCGACAATTTATTCTTCTGCTTGGCCGAGCCGTTCACAATGCTCTCGGATATCTTGAGGTCCTTCAAGCCGTCCGTGATGTCGTGCCCCTTGTCGGTGGGCTTCTTCACGATTCGACGATTTTTAAAGCCGAACTTCTTCTTAGGCAGGAGCTTCAACTCCAACTCGGAAGCCTGGTTCTCCAACGACTGCAGGTTCTCCTGCGCGCGTCTTATATCGTAAACTTTTAGAAACATTTTAGACTGCGATAAATAGTTCTTAAGCAGCTGGATCTCCTTGTTGGATTTCTCGAAGATCCCCGGCAGCGCCGAGGACGGGCTGCTGGGCGCGTCGTCCAGCATATCCTTGATCTTCTTGCAGGTGGAGTAAAACGTGTCTTTGAAGTAACCGCTCTGCTCGGATTCCACGGCGAGCGACTGCCGTTCCTCCTTCCGCCTCTCGATGACATTCTTTCGCTCCCGATCCCTCTTCGTAAGACGATCCGACAAGCTTTCCTCTATAAGCTCCGCGGGGTCCATTTTACGTGCACGAGTGCTATTTCTTAGGATCGTTTACGCTGCTCTGAGTCTCGAACTTCTTGAAACTAACGTTCGGCCTTTCTTGGTTCATAAATTTCGCAGACTCCCCGTACGATGGTCTAAAAAGACTGTGCTTCTCTGACGAATACGGCGGGAGATGCTGAAACAAATCAATTGCAAATAAAGAAAAGATTTAAACAATTTTTTTATTCTTTTTTTCATTAGACTTAGATCCCTCAAATAAAAATGTAACTGTTGTGAGAAGTTCGGCGAAATTATTTTTATAACAAATATTGACTGGTTTTCTTTATAAAAAAAAAATATTGTACAATTGACGAAAGGAAGAGTCACCATCGCCACCAACTTTTGTAAAAGAAAACGCATCTATTAGGCGGCTTGGCGATTACATAACCATGATTACCTTGACAAGATCCGATTCGTTGGTCGCGGCGACTTTAAACAGAGCGTATCCCAATCCACCGCCGAGAACTATCGACGACACGTAGTACTTCAACGCCATGAAGATTTAATGCTCATCGCGCTCTCCCATCCAGGTCTTGTAATCGAACGTCCTCAGATTATCGTTGCCAGACAGCTTTTCCCCGATAAGGTAGTAGCCCTCCAATATAATTGGAAAACGTTGGCGCATGTAATACCTGAAATCTAACACACGTGGAATATTATTATACGTAAGACCAACCTGCCGATTCGATAATGGACAAGAGATAAGCGACTCGGGGACGGTCGAGTCGTCCTTTCTGGCACCTATTCGCGGGTTTTCCTCGCCGCCCTGGTGCAGAAAGATCACAGTAATCAGTCACGTTAACACGCCAGACGCTAAATAGGGAGTAATCGAGGGATCTTTTTCTCAGCCGTGTTGATCTCCCGCCGTTACTCCGTTTACGTCATCCTCGCTCGTTTCTCATCTCGAAGGCGCGGATCGAGGATAAATTCTCGGGCGGGGGGGACACGGGAAAAGAGTAACGTAACCCCCGTAAAAGGTGGAGCAGCCCGGATTACGACGAGGTTCTCTAGTTCTTACTTGGGCCAAGCGTATAGCGATTCACCTTGCGACGTGTTGAGGCAACGCCAGAGTCCGTACGAGCCGAGGAACAGCGCGGTCTCGAATATAAGGAACGCCTTGACACCACGGCTGAGCGTTCGCGTGAAACCCGGCCCCGGCTGTTTCGTGATCATACTAAGGTGAAACGGGGGGATTTCCTAAAATGGAAATTCATCAATACTGCGGGATACGGAACTCGGGTAACGAAACATCGCGCAACACCGCGAGGTTGAGCGCGGCGCGAGGGGAGGGGTGGGAAGGCGCGAAGAGGACGCTCCGCGCGGCAAGAAGCATGAAGCCCGTGCCCTGACTGCCCCGTCGAGTGAACTCGGCCGATATTCCAGATTTCAGCAGCTATAGTCACGTGTTATAGTTGAAAAATATTCGAAATTGATTTTTAGATGACAATTGAAATCCTTTTAATTATAGAATATTAATCGGATTTGCGATATATGCCGAGATTGTATAAATCTTGGGGAAAAAAAAAGAAAAAAAAAAGTTGAAGTTTCCTCGTACGATAAGCCCTGTTTGGTTCAACGCGCTACTTCCTCTCCGAGGATAAGAAGCAGAACGTTCCAACACACATTACTTTACTTTGACCAATACTCTCGCGCCCATCGTGAAGGGATCGGCCGAAGCTTCCTCTCCCCCTGAAGCTCACGAAGACGACGGAGGATAATAGCCAGAAAAGTTTTAAGCTACGGCACTTTCTGCCACGGGTCCAGGGACTTTCCTCAGAGCGATAAAGAGAGTCATTGCAGACTCCGCTGGTGGCTCCGCGGTGTTTCCCGAGGGAACTTCGGTAGTGCTTCCTTCTCAGGAGGACGTATATATAGCGAAACGCGGCTCGACCAAGCGCTAGCGAGAAACTTGGAAAATGAGAAAAGATGTGGGATGTTGCAGCGACATACAGCTCAGTGTGACGGGTTGCCTAGTATTTCAAAATTTGTACTTGGAAAACAAAGTACTTTTTTTTTTTTTTAATTATGATGTTTACCATTTTTACCTAACGAATTTCGATGACGTATGAAGAAGAAAGGTTTATATAAACATTATCGCTTCATTATCGCTTTAATTGATATAATTGTTTACATTTGTTATACATTTTATTGTGACAGACTTTATTTTATTCCCGAGTTTGATGATGCGAGGGACGCTGACCGTCGGTCGCAACAAAGAATATCGCCTACAAATTTGTCACCCCCCGGATCATCCCCTCGATACCGACGACGCTCGGCGTCGCGACGCCGCGACGCGCATGGTCGCCGGTCACAGAGCGCAGAATCGCTCGGAGATCGTGGACGTCGGCTGCTGGACGGAACGGGACGGTCGGTCGGTCGGTCGGTCGACAGCAGCAGCGGGGGAACACGAAACGATATCGCATCGCTAAATATAATACGAGGCACGCGGTTCCGCTAACCGTCCGCCACGGCACGCGAGGCCGCATGACGGCGACGGCTTTGCGGTATAGTAGTTAGTAGTCACTAGTCAGTGGTAGTCACCGTTTGAGACCGTCGACGTTCGTAACGTCGACCTTCCGTCGACGCTTTTGTCGGCGTTCGTAATCGCGAAAGTTACCGTGTACCTCACGTCTTCGACGATCGACCGTGGAAAACGTGAGTGGCGAGCCTTTCCCAGGCAGGTGCGTCCTCCGCGAACGAGGAACTCTTCGAGGGGTTTGTGATATTTCTGACCGGAGCTTCTTTGACCAGATCGATCGTCGCCAAAAGCCGTAGGTCAGAATCTTTGAAAATCTTTGAAAATCTTTGAAAATCTTGAGAATCTTTGAAAATCACACTGACATGAGAAATTTATGTATGTTTTAAAGAAAACTAAGAATTACACGCGTTATGAAATTGTAAGGAAATATTCTTTAATGAACCTCAGTTTCTCGAAAAAAATTAAATTCAAGACTTTCAGAGATCGATTCTCCTTAATATTTAATAATTAGCAAACATTTTTAACAGCTTTATTTAGATTCAGTTTGTGATTATTTAATGAATATAAAATATAAATTTTTTTAGACGTATAATAAAATGCACGGGAATAAGATGCGTTAAATTAAACAAATCAATTTAAATCAAGAGATTATTTTTTCTTTATTTACTTATTGTTAGACTTTTCACATTTTCTCTTTCCTTTGTAGCACAAGTTTTGTTTCCATTGTTATCAGCTACAATACCTCTGCATAGTTCCTTAAATTATAAAAAAGACCGTGCACGACCACAAGAAGTCTTAAAAATACCCATTGATCCATTGTAACTGCGACGTATTTCAAACCGAGGCAATGTAAATTCTACGATTGTTCACTATTTACTCAAAGTCGTTTGCTCGTGTTGCGTCTCTGTTTTCAATGCCAGCCTCATGGCTGCAAATATATGTGTCGCTTATTATCGTTTCGCTGAATGGAGCTAATCAGTAGTACAAGAGATTTCGAATGCCATAATTAGCGGTATTTCCTGAGGTGCACATTTGCCTTTTGCAAACCTTTACAAAAGACTTACGGAAAATATCAAAATTATTAAAACTTATTAAAAGATTCAGAATTGTTATTACGCAATAATTAATGATTAAAATCGTTAAAAGTAAAAACCATTCGGTTATTTTTACACGAAGCAGAGAGGAAGAGAATTGAAAGACTAAAAGCACGAAGGTAGATTTTAAAGACATGGAATTTTTATTTTGAGAATGTCAATATTACGTTTGATGTAATGCACATGATGTAATGACAGCCGGCTTCTACGATTATTGATCGCCGAACGTCGCAAGTATATATTGTGCCCGGACGGTAACATCCTACGCGAAACGATATACGCAATAATGAAAAATGTCCCGATACACAGCCATTCACCCTTTTTGTACATTCTTCCTATGTGCCAATACACAGTAATATATGCATCCATCTGGACAATATTTAGATATTAAAAAAGTCGAACTTTTTAAATCACTTTTAGTAAGAAGAAATACAAATATAGGTACTTAATGTGCAGAAGAAAAAGGAATTTTTTGTCTACTGTCATTTTATAAAATCATAATTTAAGCATTATTTTGGACGGCATGTAACTTCGAACACTACATTTATATTTAAAGTAAAAGAAAACTGTTTAAAACTGTTTTAATTTTCCGTTCAATAATTTGTTAAGTTCTAAATGTTCAGGAAACATGGACTTATTGATGTTTTGTTTCAGAAAAAGGTTATATGGAAAAGATATATGTATAATATGTAACGTCCGTGTGTATGTGACAGAGATGAGTATCCAGAAGCCCGAAGATCGATTGCTATCGGTTGTTATATCAACCGAACTTCCACCGTCTCCGAATTCTCGACAGCTGTTTATAAATCAAGATCAACAGGTGCGTTCTTCACTGTGATTGTGTAATTCGATCTTTATCTGATCGTGGTTTGTTAGAAATTTCAACCCTTTTAGTTTAGCAAATCTCTTTGACACTTTTTGAAAGATATAATGACAATATAGTATATTTATGTATATATATTTAAAAAGCTGCAACAATACAACACAATATTTCACAATCATATCGAAGAAAAACAAATATAGTGCTTTCCTTACACGAGACTCGTTCTGAGAACTTTGTCTCATACATGCGTTTAATAGGATGAAGAAGCGTCCGATTGTCCCCTATTAACACCAAGTCCACCACCTACCCAAACCGACGGGACTCTCCAGTCGACGCCGATATTCAATGCTCTGGAAGGAGCTCCATTAGAGATGATACCCACGCCGACGCTTGAGAATATTAATACGGAGGACGGACTCAACTTCATGAACATAGTGAATAGTTCAAGCAAACCTTTAAACGATGGTGCGTATTCCTACCTATTCCAATGTACAATGGAGCACACAATTAAGCACGCATATATATACATGTTCGATATATACTTTGCTTTCAATAATATTGTCTGTATACATGACGTTATTTGTTCTGTTTTATTCCTCTTTCTTTTCATTATTGGATTATGGATTATGGATGATTTCGCATTTAATTTATAGTAATAAAATAGAATTTTATACGATAATATAAAAGAAAGAGGAAGAAAGAAGAAAAAATATACGAATTAGCGTCAATTTGTGGACGAATCTTTTCTTTAAATATAAAATGTTCGTTAAGTGGCTCACGTTCTTGAGCTGAAGTGCTTACGTAATCTGCTGCTATGTAACGTCGACGCTCGTTTTGATAGGATCCAGTTTCAATTTAAGTGATGATCCATTCAGCATTCCTACACGCAAACTAATTTTTATCTTCCTATGTTTGTGGTTAAAATCGTCCAAGTTAAAAGAACAACCATTTTTGGTCGCGTAAAATTATTTTAAGATTTATTTTAAAGGATCTCTATTAAAAACACAGAAGCATGACTATTCACACAGTTTAATGATATAATTAGTTTGAATCTGATCTTGGTCTTTTTTAATCATTTTCGCAATACAACAAATAAGTTTGCTTCGAACGTCTTAATAGCTGTTCTATAAATGGTTCATTTCATGCGTCGTGTTTCAGAACCGAGTTCACGTGATCCCATGGTGGAATCTACTAGCAGCGGTAGCAGCAGTGACACAAACGAACCCGTTTGCGCACAATTGTTGACACAATTGAATACCGCCTATCAACATCTCGCACCAGACGCTCAAGCTTTAGTAAGTATCGCAAGTGGGACTCTGTGTTCTCTCGAATTTTTTCGGGACCATGTATAAAACAGAATCGACATGAAGATAATTTAACAGCATCCTAATTCGAGGCTTTTGAATATCTTGAAATCAATTTTTAGATGTCAGTGAGCCGTTCAAAATTATTAAAAATTAAATTATTATTTACGTCTGCATAAAATCGAGAATTAAAACATTCAAAGGTTTTGAGACTTTCGATGTGTTCGTGACTTTTTTCGAGGTATCTCTTAGTTCTGGAGTATTAGAAATGATTCAAAATTTTCTTTATATGTATAAATATACATATTCCAAGTGATTTAACGCATCTTGTGCTTATCACTATATTTGTACATGCATATGTGCCTATTGTGCTTAATGTATTGTATGTCTATCATTACAAGATTCATAAATTCCGTCTCTGTCTTTCACGGAAGCGAAGGGAATCTATGCTGTTTCATACATTACATTATATGTTTACATTTGCCTGTCGCAGATAAAGGATATTTTGTCGATTGTATTACTATAAAGATTACCGCTTTATGATTGCATTCACGAAATCGTGATCGTACTCACGTACTCACGTAATCTATACTTTCTGACGTTCAACTAAATCATTAATCGACTTGCTCATCGATTTGTCATCTCAGTTGCTTGTATGCATAGAAACCCCGTACAACTAGGGTGACCATGCGGAATTAAATTAAACAGAAATTAGAGAAGGCCGTATATGCGATAGAGAGAACTAAAACATTAACTTTTATTATACTTTTACTTTTCAATAAAATTGAATAAAAAAGGTAGATATTATTTACGTATATAAGCTAGAAATTTTTTTATATTTAAATTAATTCCTAAATTGCGGATTTTGAATAAAAAATATTAGGCTGAACCTAAAGAAACCTGCGAAAAACGTCCGAGGGCTCCTTGTGAAAGAGGATCTGTCTTCGGGAACGGGAATACCTGGTTCCCGGATCTGGTCACGCTAGAATTGACATTTTGTTATTGTGTCATCGGGGGTTTAAAAGAGATGCAGGTATTGTATACCTCGTGAATGTTCCCTTCGATTTACGTGGCTTGGCTGTCCCACATTTGAAATGAATCTGAAAGGGATAGGATTACACAATGATCTCACGTTGACTAATCCATTGCTTGCCGCTTCCTAACAATCATCATACATATTTATGCTTGTAACTGTTTAGTTTTACAACCAGGAGAACGGTGGGAAGCCACCGCTCGTTGGGATTCAATTGGTGGTGCCAAAACCGCCTAAAGATTATCGCTTTATGAAATGGAACTGGCCGTTGATACGGAAGACATGCTACTGGTCATTGATGTCGATCTTGACTGGATGCGCCGCTCTCGTTATCGGCATTATCGCCACAATGCCTAAGAAGTATGTGTACACACGTTATGCATATTTACGTACATGAATAAGAGAAATGATAAAGATCGAGAAATGCGATTGCGATTCCTGGATGAAGGGAATTCCCGATAATTTCAGTATAAGGTGATTACGAATTTGCTAGACAGCAAAGATAGTTGAGGTATTTTTGTAACAATTGCGAGTATTTTGCATTAAAACGCATTTTGTCACGTTATATAACTTATGTACAATAAAAAACTCAATTTTAATTTCTTTTTCTTAAACATTACGAGTAAAATAATATTTTACTTAATTTAAATTTATAATACATAATATATATAATACATTTTTCGTATAGTAATACAAAAACGCGCATATGAATACAAAGATAAACATTTTATCAAAAGATTATATAACGTTTTAGTAAGTAGATGATTTTTAAAACAAATTGTATGTGTGATTTTACTTGAATTATTTGCACGTTAGATGCGACCCGCCGGTGGAATGGTGGCAAGGCAGCACCTTCTACGAAATATTCCCGGCGTCCTTCCAGGACTCGACGAAGGGTGCCGACGGGATCGGTGATCTGCGAGGGATAATCATGCGGCTGGACTACTTGAAGGAACTCGGAGTGCAGGCCGTCAGATTGAACTCGATATTCCCGGCGTCACATTACCCGGAATATTACTCGAACATTAGTAACATGTCGGACGTGAACAAGGAGTTGGGCACGCTGGAGGACTTCGCCGTTCTCGTGCGCGAGATTCACAGGCGAAACATGAGCCTAGTCCTCGATTTACCTCTGTACCCGTTCATGAAGCGATTGAGCGAAGCGAAGACAAACCAGACTGAACGTGCGCTTCGAGAGAAACGTGATCTCACGAAGGACGCGATAATTCCCGACGTACTGCCGTCCGCGCCGTCCACGTCGGTCGAAGGTATCCGCGACGTTCTGTCATCGCCGCTGCAAAAAGTGAAGAGACAAACGACTCGTCAACAAGAGCATCCCGTCAGCGAGGCCATCAGGATCTGGCAGGAGCGAGGGGTGGACGGCTTCTATCTAAAGGGACTGGAGCATTACGTCGACGAGGACACGTTTGCGAGCGATCTCAGATACTGGAGGTCTCTTCTACGCCCGGGCGGTATCTTCATCTGTCACGTGGGCGCCCTGGATGCCGCTACCTCCGACGCCGTGAGGAACTCCATTCTGTCCAGGATAGATCTGATCGACGTGACACTTCGTCTGACGAACGGCACAAGGGACATCAAGGCGCAGATCGAGAGCATCACGAGGGGTGTGATGTTCGACAAGGCCGCCTACCCGTGGATCCACTGGTCCGTAGGCGGCGTGGACACCAACAGAGTGGCCTCCACTATGACCGTGAAGAACGCTAGCGTGGCTGCTTCTCTTCTCGGTATGATGCTACCTGGGACAGCTAGTATATTTTACGGAGATGAGGTATGAACTTCAAAAAATATGCAATTATTATCTCTTATATCTGTGGGTTTTAATCATTTTTTAATTATTAATAGCGATTTGACGTTACAGTAAATATCTCTCTTTTTGAGATAATTGAAAAAACAATTCAGTCCGAGGAAGAGCTATTTGTTAATCGGATTTTTATTCGCTCAGATAGGTATCGAAGATTGTGAGTGTCGGGATCACAAGGATTTGGCACACGTGCACAATTTGGTTCCTATGTATTGGGAGAAGGATGACGGCCCCGGTATCAGTTTCTCGCCTTCAGGAGTTACCGCTTGGCTACCAGAGGCTGGGAAACCTATGGAGACCAGTTTGAAGAACACTGTTACAAAAATGGCGAAGCTAAGGATGGAAGCGACACCGATTTACGTCAAAGCGGTGTTAAGAGAGAGCCAATCTACTGCGAACTGTGATGTTAGGTAAAGTCTCTTTGATTTGCACGAGTTTCCGGACTTGTGATTTTCCTTAGGATAATAGAAGTAAACGTCTTCAACAGTGATTTAATTTTAATATCTTCTTAAAAACTCGAGAAATTAATATTATTTTTTCATTTTGCATGCGACTTTGGAAAATTTCTCTGTCTTGAGATGGATTAAATTGCATTTTACATTTTAAATTTTCGACAAATGTATAACGACTTTGCGAAATGTGACGAAATGTAATAATATGATTTAATATTATTCTGTTTAGGTATGTAGAAGATGAAATGATCGTGATTGAGCGGTGGTACCCACGAAGAAATTCTTATGTATTTGTAGCCAATTTTGGCAATGAAACACGGATAAAGGATCTGTCATCCCTTTATTATGGTGGTCACGTTGTAGTTGGACCAAGTTACAGAATGAATCGAAATGTGTACTTCAAAGAACTTACCGTCCCCCCCGGAGAAGCGTTTGTTATAAAATTAGATAAGTGAGAGACAGCCTTTTTGTTAAACCTTATATAAGTTCACTTGTTGACAGATTATATTTTTATTTATACTTTTGTCATATGAAACGATCATCAGTCATTTAAACACCATCAGAAGTATTGGATGTACCTTACAACGAAATAAAATTTTATAAAATTTTACTTTACGAAATTTTAGGGATAAAATAATTCTTCGATTATAAACGATCGAAGATAATTTTTTGCGAATTCATGGTTTAGGGGTAAAAATAAATAGAAAATTATTTTATTTTTATTTAGTTTTTGATTAATTGAGGGAGAAAAAAGAGACAGAAGAAGAATGGTGTTGTCGAAAATTAAGGAATAAAAAAAGATGGCGTCCAATAAATTTTTCGGTTAATACGAATAATATGTATCTCGCAGCTCGCAGTATTAAAAATGATTAGTATCATAACTTATCTATGTCATACAAAAGATTGGATCTTTACAACGAATTTTAATGCATATCGATCACGTTATGTCGATAAAACCAATCTAATGCGGTTGTATTTAGATTGCAATTTTACAATGCGCATCTATTATCATATTTGTTCTGGCCCCTAAAATTATCGCAGAGGCAAGAAGCTTTACGTTTTTATTTTATACTTCCTTTGATAATAGAATTAAAAATCCATCAAGTAATGCATCGTTGTAACAAAATTCATCATTATTGCGACGATCAAAATACAGCGTGTAAAATCTCTTCGTAATATATAAAAATGCTAATTCAAAAATATTTTGTACGATATAACAATGATAATAATCGGGGTTTGGCTACTTATACAATATTGTTTAATTATATTTGTCGTTGGCATCGAATCGTACAATTTACTCGTACAATTATATACGATTTTTTTGATAATTATATATATTAGGAATAGAGAAATGTATTGTATGTATTATTGACTGTGTGAATGCAAGAGATTTATATTAATAAAATTATCTTTATGTATTTACACAGACAAATAAAAAAATTCTGAATATATTGCTAAGTATATCTTTATTGTATAATAAATAACGAATTACAACAAACTTCAAATTAATAATGTAATAACATTTATTTGCTCGAAGAAAATCAATTAAAATTGGGTTTTTAATTGTTTTATTTCTCTGTGTATATAAAATTTCATTTTTACACTTTATTTCAAACTAATGTATTTTGTTCTGTACTTATATCACGAGTCTTAAAAAAAATCTTATAATTTTGAAAGGAAAAACAAAAAATGCAAAAGGCGAACACAACGTGAAATACAAGAGAAATTAACAGAAAATTTTTGTTAATGTAAAATGTATACTGTATACTAATAGATTATATAATATAAGCCCATCGTTGAGCGCGATTGCGTAGAATATCACTTTGGCACATAATCGTATTGAAAATTGTGATTATCTGGATGGCGACCTATCCTTTTTATAGAAATTCTGTAAAAGAGTCACAATAACTTGTTAATAAACAGTTTGTAAAAATAATTTAAATATTTAATAAATATAAATAATTACCACTAAAAAATAAATAAAATATTAAACGACAAACATTTTAATGTTTCATTACAATTATTATGTAACAATAATTAATTATTAATTGCAATTCTATCGTTAAGCTGAATTTATTGCTTACTTTTTCAGCTATATCAATAAGATGCTCGGCCATCGCAGTACCAGTCTGCTGTACCATACTATAAAAATGTCCCTTCCTTTGTAAAAGGATATACGGATGGTCAAATTCCTAAAATCAACATTTATTATTTTGTAAAATGCTTTTATTGGGGGAGAGATTCCGAAAATTAAAAATCGCTGAGCGTCAAAATTATCGGAATCGTGTTTCTTTTTTTTAATTGTTCAGCTATCGACTTGTATACTTACCACAAGGTTTCCAGCGTCCATCACGAATATTCTATCGCTGTCCATAATGGTGTTCAATCTGTGAGCTATGGTGAACACGGTACAATTTATAAATTTCTTCTTAACCGTTTTTTGTATAAGGGAATCCGTGTAGGGATCGATGTTGGCAGTTGCCTCATCCAGCACCATAATCCGATTGTTCTTGATAATAGCGCGCGCGAGGCACAACAGCTGTTTCTGGCCGACGCTGAAGTTCGACCCCTCGTCGGACACCCTCGTGTTCAATCCGGCGGCCATCTCGGAGATGGTCTCCTTCAGCTCGACGTCCTGGAGCGCCTGCCACAGCGCGGCGTCGGAATACTGATCGAAGGGATCGAGATTCCGTCGCAGACTTCCGGTGAACAGAAACGGCTCCTGAGGGATAATACTGATCTTCGAGCGGAAGTCATGCAGGGCGATCGCGCCGGTGGACACGCCGTCTATGAGGATCTCACCCTCCACGCAGGCCAGGCGAAAGAGTGCGTTGATAAGGGACGACTTGCCCGCGCCGGTTCTACCGACGATACCGATCTTCTCTTCCGGCATGATGGTGAAGTTGATGTTCCGGAGGATGTAGGCGCCTCGACTATTGTACTTCAAGCTCACATCTCTGAATTCAACGAGACCCTTCGTCGGCCAATCGTCCGGCGGCTTGGTTTCCGGCTTGCCGTCGATCATCGGCTCCTCTTCCAAACGGCTGTACTCGAGTATTCTCTCTATGGAGGTCAGCTGGCTCTCCAGCTCGGCCGTTTGTCTAATTCCCCACTGCAGCATGTTCGTCAGCGCCATGGTTTGCGTGATTACCAGACCGATGTTACCAACGACAGCCAGACCGTCGACGACCGTGAAGGCTATGATTATCGCCCCGATGTAAAACTGACAGATGACGTCGATGTAGAAGCCGAAGGCTCGAGAGGTGGACAGGAAGAGGAAGCAGGCGGACGAGTGGACATCCTGATGACTGCACAAGTCCGTCATCAACATCTCCTCGGCGTTAAACGCTCTGATTGTCGTCAGACCTTGCAGAGACGCTCCGAGGTGGTCAAAGATCGGCGAACGTGCTGAACAAATTGTTATCGCATTACTTATTTTAACTCCTGTTTCGCAGAAACGAAATCTAATTTCGACGAAAAGAACTTTGAAACATATGTAAACGAAGCAGATTCGGAGATCAAAAGTAATGATTTCTCGTTGGCTACTAATATCGCCTTTTATAAGTATATCGCATAAATAGATCACTTACTCGTCCCTTCGAGGCGTTTGATGCTGCGAGCGGTGCAGATGTATATCATACGGAAATAAGTAAAAATGCACGCGCAAAGCACAGTGGGGATCGCCAGCCATGGGTTGACCGCTATGATCATAACTGCCACCGTGATTGAGATGAGTCCGATCACTATGATGTCGAATACGCACATCGACAATAATAAGTCGACGATATTGATATCTCTAGCAAACCTAATAGTGGGAAATATTTTTCTTCTTTAGATAAAGCTATCAAAAGTTGGAAAAAAGAAAAAAGAAAATCAAATTCATTTTTTAGACAAATTAGTGAACAATAAAAATCTGCATAAAATTATATGACAAGATTGTAATTCTTGCAATTTTTATCCAAAAATTTTTTTAACTTTCTTTTCGAAAAACTGAGATTAATAATTTTACTTACAGCAGAATTTAATCAGAAAAATTGCACTTGTTAATATGATACTTTACAAATAATCTCGCGTTCAATTATTGTGCCTTTTACTTGTGCCCTGCACTTGCCTGTTTAATATACGGCCAGCTGGATTAGTACTGTAAAAGTACATGGTTGCGCGCAATATGCTGCGAAACATAGCGGAATGCAGATTCACCGAGGACCACATGCACACGCTGAAGTACACGATCGTTTGGAATTTCCACAGCAGTACGATGGACACTATCATAGCGCTGTACAAGTAGATCATGGAATCGCGGGGTAGCGGGCCCTCCCATTGAAACTCCAGGGTGGCGTTGTCCATCTTGTGCCACGAGCTCGACTCGACGTTCACCCAGAACGCGACGAAGTAGTCGCTACCACCGGATATCACCTGATTCGCCAAGAAGATCAGCATCATCAACGCGATCAAGACGGGCCTCTTGCTCGCCTTGAAGTAAGCGAAGAACATTCCGCGAGATATGCGACCCTTCGCCATCGTCTCTTGCATCTCAATCGGCGGGACGTCCCCGTTGTCCCTCGTCTCGCCCTTCATCGAAATTCGACGCTTAATCTCGGATTGCCTTCTCTCGGCCTCTTTGCATTTCGTATCAGCCGCCTTCACCAGCTTCATAAAGTCAAGGCCCAGCTCTTGCAACTGATCGAACGTACCCTTCTGCTCGATACTACCGTCGTTCATCACGATAATCTGATCGGCGAGTTGCAGATACTGCAGCTGATGCGTCACCAGAATCCTCGTTTTTCCCTGATCGGCAATTGTTGAATGAAATAATTAAAATTTGGAATCACAAGAAGCTACCCGAGAGAATCATCTTAAATTGACAAATTTCTACCAAAATTTTTTCTTGTCAATCACAAATATGAATATTTTGCTGCACCCTGCGGCTTTTTACCTTTAGATAGCCGAAGATGCACTTGTCCACGAGACGTCTGCTGACGTGCGAGTCCACGGCGGAGAGAGGATCGTCCAGGAGATAAATATCCGCGTCCTTGTAGATCGCTCGCGCCAAGTTGATCCTGGCACGCTGGCCGCCGCTCAGATTTATCCCCCGCTCGCCCACGATGGTGCGGTCGCCGTGAGGAAACGAGTCTATGTCCGATTCCATCTGACAGACTCTGATCACCTCGTTGTAACGCGACTTGTCCATCGCCTGCCCGAACAGAATGTTCTGCCTCACGGAAGACGCGAAGATCCACGGCTGCTGGCTGACGTAGTTTATCCTGCCGCGGCTCACGATACTCCCGCCCGTCAACGGCAGTTCCTGAAGTATCGCTTGCAAGAGGCTGCTCTTGCCCGAACCCACCTGGCCCACGATGGCGACGAAGCTTCCAGGTGGCACGGTCAAGCTTACGTTACGCAACGTCTCATCCTTACCCTCGCCGTGCCACTTGGCGTTTACGTTTGTCATGCGAAGTGCGAATGAATCAGTACCCGTCTGACATGGGTTCTGTTTCGTTTTGCTGATCTCATCGTGCAACATAAATCTTCGCAAACGACGAATACAAACCAATGCCTGTACCAATTGATGGAGACCTACGGAACAAAATTTAAAAAAATAAATAAATAAAAATAGAATGTAATACTAATCTTCAACGAGTACTAAATTCTGTCATCTTTAAAAAGTCGTTAAACTTAAGGTATGTGTAAAGTAAATGATTTAATTATACCGCGTTAATTATATGTCAGGCTCTTTATATTTTATCTTTAATCGCGATAAAGCTATTAAGTCACGACTTGCTAAGGATTAATTCTCAGCATGTCATTTATAACATGTCAATTGTTAAGTTTTGTATCGATAGTCTTACCCATTGAAAAGCCAAAAATCATCGAGTTCCGTAGAACGTTGTAATATGCTGTTACCAGGTACACCTTCTCGGCGTTAATGTAATTTCCGAATAAGACGTATGCCAATATCGCGACGAAGAGACTAAGTCGCGGCACATAGCAGTCGAGAGTGAGAGCTAATTGTTTCAAGATAGAATATTTCTTTATTACGCTCATCTCACGCCTGGAAATAATTAAATTCTAACAACAGTTTGGTAAAATTTCTAAAATCCTCAATCGAATAACAAGAGTCTGTATTAATTTAGTAGAAATAAGAATACGAAAGAAATTCTTTAATTAGCTATAAAGAACAGTAATGCATAAAAATACAAATAGCACATGAAATAATAAAAGAAAGAAGACAAGTGTTTTTAGTTTAAACAAAATTAAACTTAGTTAGAACTTTCGAGGTACACTTACTTTCTCGCCTTTTCCACCAGATTATAAAAAGGAATTTCCCAAACGTACATTTTAATTACTTGCAATCCGGTGATTACTTGATTCATCAGCCTGAGCCTGTTGTCTGTTTTTTCTGCTAATTTAAGCGTTAAAGGTGCAATTATCTTCGCTAAGGCCGCTGAAATAGTACATGTCATTTCAATACGTTGCAACGAATCCGCTCATCAAATATAATGTTCAGTAGAATATTATTACAGAGACATATTAACCGTGCGATTTTTATAATCATTTATTAACTGAAGCACGCCAGTACCTTGACAAGGAATGAATAGTAAAAATACCGATATTCCTATCAGCGCTGCCCATCCAATTTCGGTAAACGTAACGTACGTGATCCATATGATTTGAAGAGGTGCGATCCAAATATAATGTAGATCTACCAAAGATGCTTCCAACCTGGTAATGTCGCTACTTAGGAAATTTACCATCTAAAAATGTGGTATAAACTCATAAAATGCAAATTAATCTTTTAGTAAGCATTTATTAAAATGTTCTCTTGAATAACTTCAATAGCTTCACGTATAAATTCATTATTTTTGCATTTTAATTTTGCATTTTGCATTTTGCGTTTAAATTCATTATTTTAATAAAATCATCTAAATTTATAGTAGTATACACGGTATAAATAATAAAGTATAGTGGCAGATGGTATTTATTGCTTATTTGTAACAAAATTATTTTGGTAGAAATAATCTTTCTATGTTCCCCAATTTCTGTCTTCTTTGCCTTGTGCTGCTCCCTCTTCACATTTGCCACGTAATGAAACATAGGAAATGAATATTGAGTTTGTATCTCTCACCTGTCCAACGGATGTCTCATTGTCCAGTACAGAATTGGGGAGCTTCAATATCTTTTGATAAATTAACGAGGTACAAGCTATCTTAATTTTCAATCCTAGGTGAAACGAGCAATGTACGGAATAATGCGTAATAAAACAATCCATGATGGACAATAGAATTATACCGCCTGCACTATAATACACCTCGTCGGTCCATTCTTTCTTCTCGCTCGCGAAATAGCGTAACAAATTAGCAAGTAATAACGGTTGATACATTCTGTAATGTAATTAAACGCATGATGAAGAGTAACATACAAAAAATTGACTGTTATAAAATATAAAATGATGATATATGTTGAATAATTTAAATTAAATTTAAATCGCGCGATAAATAAAGAGAAGTTATTCATGTTTAAACATATAGAAATACAAGTTTTACTCAATTTTACAATTTTCAAAAACTATATTTATAAGAATTAAAACTTACATGAAAAAATTTATTCTCTATTGCAATTTAAATTTTTAAATAGGTAATAATCTTTCTTTCTTTATCAATTTGTGTCACCACAGCATACAGAAAAATAATTATTACATATCCATCTTATTTTACGATATTTGTTCTGCTTTTCGTATCTTCATTTCTTTCGAACGTGTCGTATTGATATATAATTCGTTTATCTTTATTTGCTAAACATACCTAGAAAACAATTCCATAATTGCTTCTGCAATTCCAATTAGCAGAAGCGTTTTTCCGAAACAGCGCAACAGCACCCTGAGCAATTGTGGCTTACGGCCATTTTTCTTTTTAGCGCACGATTCTATTTCTTTTTCCCAAGCCCTGCCTATGACTTGGCCTAAATGGTTGGTTCTGTCTTGCGTAAGAGTAGCGTAAAGATCGGTCTCCTCTAAATCTTTTTTGTAGTAGCCGGTCCGAAAAATTTTTCGGGTCCACCTGTATGTATTAATTGTTAAATTCTTTGAATTAACATACTGTTTATTACTTAATTATTATCTTAACTCGCGTAAGTATATAGATATTCGAACGCACGTATGTATGGCACATGCAAATAGCGAATGCTACAAGCAATCTTGACCGCGCATTAAAATCTCTTTCGTACGTAAAGCTTCAATAGCCAGACGTCTATATTTCCAATAAAAAGATTTTCAACATCTGTATTTCTTCATTATTAAACCAAATTAATATACTACAATATAATATTTTATAATAAATGTGCGAATACTTTTTTATAAGTAACTCAATCACGGTACCTAATTGTTAATTCTATTTTCGATCATATGTTGTATACATTTACTTTTGATTTAGATAGCATTACAAGATTTAATTTGTAATACTTACCAAAAGGTGAGGAGGGAAATGACATTCGCATTTTGCCGTGGATTTTTTGGATATTTCTTTTGATCGTCGTTTATCATGGTGACACATTGAACTTTTATTCATCTTCAAATATCTTTCATTTTTAACATAACACCAACTGCCTATATATTTTTATTAATTATTAAAAAGAATAAATAATTAAAATAATATGATAAATGATAAGATGATAAGATAAAATAGAATTTTTATTTGAGGAAAGTGTCTTAGATCAAACGTGCTTTTACTTTATTTGCAATTTTTTGACAAGTTGTCGTGGAGGGAGGAAGTCAAGGGAGACCATTGCTTATCTCAAATCTCCAATTTCCAATATTATATATCTTAATAATTAAATACAAATTTCGTTTTCTCTAAAAAATTTCTCTGACAATAAGTCAACTAAAAAATATGATTTTGCATTTAAATAAAATTCAATGCGCAAAAATGTCTTTTTTCAATTACTTATAACTGACAAATTATTCGTATAGGCATTTCTGTTAAAAAAATTATAAATTCTTAATTTATCAAAAAGTCTGTCAAGTGAAATACATGAAAGTCTTATTAATTACATTAATAAATATTTTGGATCTTTGCGAAAAAAAAGGTAGTTTACAGGATTAATTTCAAATGTCAAATATGCGTATTGCACTCACCAATTCGACGGTGTCAAAGACCATTTCATCAGTCGTCTGAAAACAACACGATCGAGTCTGTCAGTGACACTTTATCAAACCGCAACCACTTTATCATATTTCCTTATATATTCTTATCGTGAGTGAAATATACACAATGCAATCAAATCTCCGAGGAAAAGAAGATACTTCAAAGATATAACCAATTATCTCATTCAAGTAACGAATAATACTCTAACGCTCTCCTCACGAGATTATTGGATTAATTGTTGTGTACTTGGCGTGAGACGCTACTGTGTCTACTGTGTGGTCTCGTTATCCTGATGCTTAAACGATTGTAAATTTACTGATAGCACGAACTCCTCTTTATCTTTTTTTTTTTTCGAAAGGCCCCAGTTTACGTTTTCATTTAACGTAAGATCTAGTCGGCTTAACTTGACGACAAAATTAGCCACTTTCATTTACATGTTTCGCACTCTTCTGCGTTGTTTTAGTTTATTATTTTTAGGAATATTTATCATTAATAATTAATAATTAAGGATACTTATCATTAATACTTAATAATTTAGTAATTTTCGATTTTACAGTATAATTTACAGTAAATATATATGTTATTAAGTGAAATAAGTTTATGTCTAATCTGAAACTAGTTTTTGCCACTCAAACGCGCACGCAAATTTATCACTTATAACATTAAATTCAGTACTAGCTAGTTGCGCACTGAAGAAATTGTACTTCTTAAGTATTTAGATCGCGAAATTCTCAATACGAATGAATATGATATGTTATACGATACTTTCTTTTTTTTGTATTCAGAAAGTACCATCTGGCGAATAGATGCAGTGAAAAGAAACGATATATTATTAAATGTCGAGGCATGCCAAAGAACTCCTGTAACACACGGAAAATAAGAGAGCATTCGGAGGAGAGCTCTATAATTACGCCTGTCTGCGATATTTTTGGCGAAATTCTTTTGCGATTCCGCTTTCGATATCGCATATGACGAGACAGCGAAAAAACGATATGCCCGACTGGCTTATTAATCTTGCAAGAAAATTGATACTGCAAAATTGATGTATTACATGGCTGCGTTCGGGGAGCGCGCTATTAGCGCTATTAGCTTATTCTATCCTTGTTTTATACCTGATGAGCGATGAAGATAAAATGATGCAATAACGCTAATAGCGCGCTTCCCGAACGTAGCCATGATATTCATTTTGCATGAATGGGGCGTTGCTCTGCATAGTCTGCATTTCCCAGCATTTGTCTGGGAAAGTTTACCTCGGAGGTAACACGATACATTTATCGTCAGTCTGCCGTACATCTTCGACTCGTGTCGAAGTCGAGAAAGCCATGCAGGTATTCGACAGCAATATAAAGATCGTCCCATTATTTCGCCATTATTTCCGAAGGAACGACTGCGAATTCCTGAACGACCTGATATTTCAATTTTCAGTCGGCTGATCTCGCTCAAGCGTCAAACATACTAATTTGGAACAAACGGTTCATGTCCTTCTTGGGCTTATGGCCGTGCAAGGTGAATCAGCCTCTATTCGTATTCCTCATCGTCTACATGATAATTTACTGTATCATGGCAGCGGGCCATCTGATGAAGAATATCAATCAGCCGGAGCGCGTCGTGGCGAATTTAACGGACAACGTTGCTTTCGTGATGATAATGGGGAAGATGTTTATATGCAGACGGAGCTGCGAAATAATGGCCAAGTTTTTGAAAAGCATCGAGATCGATTTCTCGACAGAAGCGTACGATAATGTCCGCGAGAAAATGGCATATCTATATTATAATGACATCGCGCTCGTATTTATCAAGTATACGACATTCCTGACAGGGGTTTCGTCTATATGGTATTACTTCAGGAGAGTTCTCGGAAATTGGAACGCAAGTAAGTGCAATTATACGTCATCGTCACGCGTAAGACTTACAGCTATATTTCATGATAGTGGCTTAAAAAGCATTATCAGGTTGTGTTCATGAGTCTGTCATAAGTCCGTTAAGACGTTATTTGCTCCCAAGGAGGCACCGAGTAGACATACCGCGCTCTAAGTCGATATTTTTAGATACCGAGATCTGGGCACGTATTATGGAACTTTTTGGAATGGATTTCAATCGGAATTATTCCGTTTTCTCTAGAAAACACAATAGAAATCTTGGAAAAACTAAACAATCCCGATTGTAATTTATTATTCTGAAAAGTTTCATAATGAGTGTTCAGACGGTGGTAATAAAAATTTGATTATTTCTTAAAATAATCAATACTTTTAATAAAACAATTAAGTAATACGGTACGCGCTGTCCTTTATTTTAATAAGATCGTATATCGCGACGTTACAACCTTTGAATACTTTTGAATATCTCAATTCTATTTACACGTTAATAAAAGGCAGCAAATCTGTAGATATAGATAGAGTTAATTGGTCCTTTTTCGGATCAGTCTGATCGATGACTTACGCATATTCTAATTAGTAATAAGGGCGATATGGAAAATTAAAGTAACCTGATGTATACAGTGGCGACCGGTAATTTTTCTGATTCTTCGTACGAATTACCGTGTTCGGTTCATCCCTTCTTTGAGATCAAGGACACGTTCACGTACATATGCATCTGCATCTACCTGATGCTGATCATGTTACCGCTGCTAGTATGCGGTTACGCTGGACTGGATGCTTTCGTACTCAGCATGGTTCTTCATGTGTGCGGCCAGTTTGCCGCTTTATCGTGCAAGATCGACAATTTGCTGAGAGACCATGAGAACTACCATCGCCATATCAGTAACATCATATTGAGACATCGCCATCTAATAAAGTAAATCCCCTATTCGATCATATCAGCACGTGTATAACTTGATAATTATTTCAAATACGTTTATATATAATGTGTTGCTCCTTATAGATTATGACAAGCTAGAGTAGCTATCACCTTAGTGTCAGGAATAATGCGACCGTGTTTTAACGATGCACCCGCAATTCCAGATTAGCGGGGATCTTAGAAGACAATTTCAACCTGATATGCCTACAGCAAACTCTGGGCACTGTATTCTTGCTCTGTTTCACTCTGTACCATATGATTACGGTGAGTTTCATGACTTGAGAATCGGAAGATCATTCGCCTCGCAATTCACGTGCTTCTCATACGTTTGAGGAAAGTGTTGATACTAAATAAGATATTACTATAGCAACACTTCGTAGTATCTTAATTAGTAGAATGAATAGGTGGCATTAAATTTTTGCCAAGTTTATCAAATTTCAAAGTTAAGCATTTTATCAATATACACGCATAATTCTTTTATAAATTAATTAATGAATGTCCGTAACTGATATCAGAATAACGGTTGGTTAAATTATATTTCAGACTTTGGAACATGCTGAAAAAGCTACTGTTGTAAGTTTTGTATTATATGTATGCGGCGTACTTAGTACATATCTCGCTTATTGCTATATAAGCGAGTGTCTCATTACTGAGGTAATTATGAAAAGTAGAATAATTTATCTTAGCATTAAAATATGTAGGTAGTCAATTTATTTATGATGTCTAAATCAGATTAACGCCAGTGTAAAATTTGTATCTTGTTGTCTATTTTAAAATATTTCATCTATTTTAATTACATTTTACTGTAGACAAAATTATATATTTATTTAGAAAATGTCAAGTGCGTTAAACGTTTAACGGTTCGTGTACACGAATTATTCATCATTTGTGAAGACAAATTTAATTTTGCAATAATATTGCTTATTTTATTCAGAGTACCAGATTGCGCGAGACATTTTATAATTCCGATTGGTATAATAATCCACCATCGCGTACAAAGTTAATCAGCATTTGTATGAGTCAAGCCGAGAAACCGCTGACGTTGACTGCCGGCAAATTCTACATGCTGTCATTGAACATGTTCACGAATGTGAGTCAACAAATCACTATATTTTTTTATCGTTTTGTTATTCTTAGAACGTATTCCGTTTACAGATTGTGAAAACGGCGATGGCGTACCTGTCCGTGTTACGCCAATTTATGTAAAAAAAATTTTGATTTGAAGTACTAGGTTGGCCAATAAGTCCGTGCGGTTGTTTATAAGTAACATTTATAAGTAAAAAACCGCACGAACTTATTGGTCAACCTAATACTTCGTCGAAATTTATCTACGAAACACGGAAACATGTATAAATAACAATTATTATAATTTATAATAACCGTAATTATTATAATTTACAAACTTAGTGCTAAATATATATGTATATATACTGTCTCGATAATAATATATGTAACAAACGAATAAAGAAAGAGGAGAGATGCTGAGATATATATACCGAATAAAATTATAGCGTTTCTGATATTTTTTACTTCTTGAGAATATTTGTAACTCGCGAGTTTTTCGTAGAAACCGATTTCCATGCTACGCGAATAAGTTTCTTCTTCGTTTTAGACAGCAGAACTCTCGGCTCAACTGCCAAACAAAAATAATTACGAGCAAATGGTTTTCAACTATGGCCACTGGGCTTATAGCTGTTTTTCGATACAGAGAGGTAAGATAATAGATGTATAATGAAGATAATAATTGCGCAAACTGAAGCAATATTTTTGACTGAAATTACAGTTGTGCTTTATAATGATTGATATCAATTGTATAATAATTTATTCTCGGGAACAGATTTCTTGTACCAAAATTTTGGAGCCACCAGATATATATATAAATTTCATTTTTCACAACCCTGCATTGTCTTTCGTCTACCGATATTATCCTCTTCGCATTAAATCTAACATATTTTTTACTCTATTATTAAATTTTGTTTACTGCCGAGACTATATATATACTCTTAACCATAATAATAATAATAGTATTTATACCACGTTTTATTTGTGATATCGATATCGGATCAATATCATGCACAAATAAAACGTGGTATAAATACCTACTATTTTATTATTTGCACCCATTATATTTGCAAGCAAAACAATGGAAAGAAGCTGATAGTTAATTAGCAACAGAGATATATAAATTGAAGCAAAATATATATATATATATATATATATATATATATGTAAAATAGAATAGAATATATACAGCATTTCTTCATATTTTTTACCGTTTTAAACTATATACGTGTTCACTTGAAAGTATCAAGAAGTGTTTCTTTCTTAGCATGCATAAAAACACCATAAAAATACACGTATCTCTTATTTTGATTTATAATTTACACCTAAAACTCATCAAAATTGGAGAGGGAAGAAAGGGGCACACTTGCGTATGTTTTCTTGTACACTAAAAGTTAAATTAAAATTATCATAAAATAAAATCTAAATTCGCACAAATTAAAAAATCTAATCATATTCTACTATTCACTTGTTTCTTTAAAGTTCACTAAAAAGTCTCTCACAACATTGCGACTTACAACAAGATACACTTTTCGTATTTTATTATATTAACTTTTGGTTAGTTCAGTCTGTATTAAATTTGTTAATTATTATTCATTATCACCACACACCTGTCTAACGATAGAGTGCAACGTCTCCAAGACAAGACTTCGTCAGTCGTTTCAATCAGAATGTTCGGAGTGACGGGACTGCGCAGGATCACAGCGCGCAGACTACTATACTAATAATAGTACTACGTATTTGGTAATTATGAAAGAGCATTAAAAAGTTTAATGACCATCTGCATCATTTTTACTGCAAACGCTGCAGTTTTTCCACGATTTGCCAAACATAAAGAAATAAAAGATTTGTGGATTGAAAAAAAAAAGAACAAAAGAGCGATGTTGCCTTTCATTGTATCAGACGGTAAGATAATCGGCCAGGTAAAATAATGGTTAATAACAGTCTCGATTGGCTATTAAACGTACAGAATTTAAAATAGCAAAATGACAAGATAAGTACAAACAATGTGCTCAATCCAGATATTATTTGTTTCAACAATCGCACACGTGGATTAACGTAACTGCGACGTAAGTCCGGCTCGCAAGAAAACGAATCACAGTCGCGGACGATTGGTTGATGAAAAGCTACAATTCAATTTGCTATGAAAGTAAGAAGTTAATACTCTATCGTCTCCATCGCGAAAGATATATCCTTGTAGCTAGAAAGAAAGTAGCTTTTCTGGGTTTGATGTTAATCGCACATCGTAATTTATCTAACTGTATCAATATATACCTAATATTCTTTAAATGTACGATTTAAATGTTTACATTAACGACTTCTATACCGAACGTATGATTGCAGAACAAAGTCGACCATATCGAAGATTTATTAATTTATCTGAAACGGATCTTTTCCATCGGAGGGATATGGCCATTCGAACGGTCGTACGTCCGTTTTGCGATTTACGTCGCGTATCAAATTCATTATTTCGTTATGGCGTATACCGAGTTTTACAACGTTTTCGGTAATCTCGAGCTGATGGTGATGAGCCTCGTGGAAACGATAGTTTACACCTCGACGTTCGTGATAGTGTTGCTGATCCGTTGCAGCAGTTTATTGAAGATCGTAATCGACGAAGTGAAGAGGGATTTGGCAGAGCAAGAGTTTGAGAATCCCGAGGAAGAGATAATTTACTACGATTACAATCGCATATCCAAGATATTTACGTACGGTTCGATCGTCGGCATGGCCATCACGTTCTTAGTGCTTTATTTTAGACCGCTTGTGTACCTCTTGATCACTAATCAAGGTATGTGAAATTTAATTTGTCCAACTCTTTTGTACTCTCTCTCTCTCTCTCTCTCTCTGATAATTATATATATTACCTGTAATAAAGATATTTAAATCATATATTGTCTCATTACTTTAATATAATTCACTAAACAATCCGCCATTGTAATTACAGAAGCAAGTTGCTCCGCATTCTTCCAAATACTTTGTAGAATTCGTTTTTTCTCACTAACGTTCCTCTAATTTTTGTTCCAGGGTCAAGTAACAATACGGAGTCGTTTATGTTACCCCATAGAATCCATACATTTCTCGATACTAGTAACACTCGTACATATGTGTTGGTGTATCTGTACGAATTTCCGATGCTTTACGTCTCCATCTGTCACATGGCAGCGATTTGCCTGGTGGTTGTCTTAGTGTTCCACATTTGCGGCGATTTGTCCATCTTGTCGTATCGTATCAGACATTTTGGGGAGACCTCGCAGACCATGCTGGTAGACAGAATTCGTAGTATCGTTCGAATGCACCTCAAGATAATATGGTAAGAATAATATTGCACACAATTATGTGTAAAATGAAGTATGCGTAATAGGTCTTTTTTTGCTTAATTTGTCTCTTTTATTCTTTTTTATGTAATATTATCGGAACATTATTGGAAGGATGGCGAAATCCATAGATAATGTTTTCAATTTGGTTCTTTTGGATGAACTCGTTGGCAATAGTGTTGTACTGGCCATCTCAATGTATTACGTCATAATGGTATGTCACATTATTGAAAATCGTTATTATTGTGAAAGATTTAATTTAGCAATATCATCTAGGCGGTAAAATATATATTTTTATGTATATTTCTATATTTTAATATATTTATGGCATTCACTTGGCACATTAAACCTTTTAATTTTTCTCTACAAAGTTATATTAAAATTTTTATCTAAAAACGAGAGAGGCCATCGCTTCTCCTATTTCCTTCTTCTCATCATTGGACAAAGATATTACTCAATCCTCCATTGTCCTTTTTTACAAATGCTGATTTCTTTCCTTCAATGACAACACGCATATACTACATTTTTTGTTAAGAGAAAATCAATTTTAAGTAAATTGATCAAAGAATATCAACGAAATTATGGATTGGATCATGCTATATTATATATATACACATATATGTATCTTTACAAATGACACTTTCCGTTTTTTAGAACTTGGAGATTTCAGAAATAGCGACCTCCGGTGCCTTTACATTTTTCGGCACTATTGCGCTAGTTATACTCTTCGGATATTGTTTAATTGGCGACCAACTAGTTCAACAGGTATTATTAAAAAACAACAGCAAACAATGATGTCAGGGAAACGAATCCTTTATGTCTGACATATTTTTATAACAAGAATTTATCGCATTTACAGATCGCAGTTTTTATATATTAAATGTTTACCATTTAATTGTTTTGTATTTAGTGCATAAGCGTGCAGGAGGCGTACTATCAGTGCAATTGGTACGAAATGCCACTCGGTTGCAGGAAGTGCTTGCTAATATGTATGATTCGGGGCCAAGTTATGCTTTATTTAACAGCCGGGAAATTTTATATATTTTCTTTAAACAGTTTTACGGACGTAAGTATGCTTATGTAATATTTTCATGAATAAAAATAATGAAAAATGTAATTTATCAGTTTGGCTTAATAAACTTGCGATTGTGTGAACTAGCGATTACAATCGAGGAGCTATTTAAATTGTTCTAAGTACACATGCCGTATTTTTAAACGTGCGAATTGGAGATAATTTGGAAATAAGCTGTTCAATTAAGCTTCACCGAGAACTTTTTATCAAAAATTTCTGTTAATAAAATTTTATTAAAAATTATAATAAAAAAAAGTATGTACAAATAATATGTATATATTGATGCAGATTATCAAAACTTCCATGGCATATTTGTCGATGCTGCGTACCATGTTATAATAAAGTAAAAAAATTAGATATTAGTAAGAAATATGAGTCACAATATTAAACGAATTTGTACAATAGAAAAATACTCTTAGAATGTTCACTATAAGCTTACATTTTGCGTTGCAATGTATATATTGTAATTATCTTAATTTAGAGGTACTATATATAAAATGTCTCAAGAATTGTAATAGAAAGATAAAACAAATAAGATAAAAATTGTGTGCAAAATCTCTTATAAAATCGATTGGAAGAAAACATAGAAAAATTAATATATTTTTTTACCAAGTAAAAAGTGGTAAAAATTGAAAAATGTACAATATTTTATTATTTAAGCTCTTTTAATATATCACGCTACTATAATTTAAATCAATTTTATTTATATTTATAAGCAAGATTTCTTTGTTTGCGCTGTGAAATCTTTTTGAGCGCGTGTCTTTGTGCACTAGAATACCTGTTAGAGATTTAGTTAAATAATCAAAAATGCACAGATTCTCTTCATCACGAGGAAAAATTATCGTTCCGAGGTTACGATCACACTGCACGATATTTTTGCGATGGAAATTCGTGGAGCTACATTTTTTGCACGCGCAGTCTAGAACAAATTGATGGCAGCAATTTGTCTTGTGACCGTACAAATCTATCGAAGAACAAATCGTGAGGGGAAAAAGCGTTCGATTTTACTTTTCTTGGATCAAAGGCACAGGTGGCTTCGATAACACGCTTATATGCAATTCATGCTTAATTTTGGGCACACCTATTGCCCGGCGTATCGTCCGTTCCCATCAGATTCTATAGACAGCACTAAAACAGAGATTACTTGCGCTCCCGCATTTGTATATTTGCCGCAGTTTCATGCGAGCTTTCGAGGGAGGAACAGCATAAGGCACGATGCAGGTGAGTGGCAGATTCTCATCGATGTTACACTTAACAAATTTTACAATACGCCACAAAGAATTATAAGGTATTACATTATTAACGATTAACAAATTAATTATGGAGAATTTCTGATTTTCTCAGGATCAAAAAGACTTGGATCGTGCGGCCGAGGTGTTGTCTTGGAACAAACGGCTAATGTCGATGCTGGGTCTCTGGCCCTTTAAACCTAACACTCTTATATTCTCGATTAATTTCAGCTACTTCAGTTTCCTCATGATTCTGGAGTACCTCGATCTCCTTCTTTTCACCGGTGACCTCGAACACGTGATCATGAATTTGACAGAGAATATGGCGTTCTCGCAGATATTTGTGCGAATGAGCATGCTACGATTGTACAACGCTCAAATTGGCGAGGTCATAACGGAGGCCATGAAGGACTTTGATAGGACGAGCTACAAAACCGCCGAGGAGGTGAAGACAGTCATGACGTACAACGCTAGATCAAAGGTCTTCGTCAAGCTGTTGATGACGTTTGTCGCCCTGACAGCTTCCTCGTATTATTTGACTCCAATTATTATTATCCTCGGAAGTGGCGGTGAGTTTACTGTTTCGTATAACTTGATCCTGGCGTAGCCAGGAGAATTACGTGAATTGTGTGAAATATGTGAAACACGTGAAGAAATGGAGCCTCGTAGATATATTGGCTGTCTCGCATTTTTGTTATTACTTGGTTTTACAAAACGAGGTTTCACGTTTTATTAAAGAATAATTTTTTTTATCCTCAATTTTTCAAAGTTTAGTATTTCTTTGAGTTGAGAAAAAATATGCAAAACGTAGAAATTTTATGTAATACGATTTCCTTTTCAATACTATAATATGTCAATGTCATGGTGTTGAACATTTTCTCAGGGCTCCCCGAAATACCGATCAGCGAGAACGTGACTCAAATAATTTATCTATTGCCTTATCGCTTTCATCTGTTCTACGCGGTGGAGAGCATGCGCACGTACACAATTACGTATGCTTTGCAAATGCCATTCGTCTTCGTCAGTGGTTTCGGACAAAGCGCCGCTGACTGTATCATGGTCACCCTTGTCTTTCACATTTGCGGTCAGATGTCGGTTCTCGCTTTACGGATTAACAATATAGACACCGAGGTCTGCGACTGCAAGGGTGAGGTGCGACATGTGGTGCGCATGCATATACGATTATTACGGTGAGCTCGATGCACGAGGGAGCAATAGTTGAGAATTGTTTGTATTGCTTGTTAAAAGCTTTCCTTTAGCTTCACATTCCGCTTAAAACTGAAAATCTTCAAGCTTTTTCACTTTTGCTTAAAAGATTTCTGGACAAGTTCTTCGTTTTTCCAGCTCTTTGCTTAAAGTTGTTTTCCCTGACAATTGAAATTTTAAATAAAAATGTCTGTTATTAGCAACTTCCATTTAAATAAATCTCATTTATATAATTTGAATAATTTTTTAGGATGGGACAAATAATAGGAAAAGCATTCAGTGTGACATTGCTGGCTCATCTTGTAGGAGCTACTTCTCTCGTATGCATCCTCGGTTATCAAATTTTAACGGTGAGTCAATATTATAACGATGATTACACGGACATAATATTTCGTACATTTACGTATCTAAAGAGTACCTTAAATGCGCAATTTTAATTTTAATGCCGAACTCTTTGGCTACTTTGAAGTTATTTTTTTCATAAGACTTTTATACCAAGCATTTTGTGGATTATGATATAATAAAATTATATAAATTTTTGTCTTGATGTATATATTGAAATAAACTCGCATATCATAACTTTAATTACAATAATTCTATGCAAAAGCGATATTTTTGTAGCATCAAAAACACTATTCCTAACATGTTTTAAGATAATACCTTTAAAATATTCACATATGTACTTATAAATATTTATATTTTGCATTTAATAGAACTCTAAAATAATTAAGGAACCGATTTAAAGTATTTGTTGTAAGGAGAATCAGCAATAGAATTGCATGAAATTTAAAATATAAGTTCTTTTATAAATAATATTAACATGTGAATTTTTTTGAATTTTATTATAAAAGTTTTTAAAAACTAACTCTGACGAAAAATTCACATCCTCTGACAGTATTTATAAAAGAACTTGTGCTTTAAATTTTATGTCACTCCTAATATTTCTGATTCTTCTTACAATCTCCTTATGTTTTTTTTTTTTAATATTAATTACAATCTATTATTAGTTTTTTATCATCAACTTTATGTGCGCAGAATTTTGCTAGAGGTGAGAGAGGAGTGCTTGTTACATTTTTGATATTCCAATTCTTAGTCCTGCTTATACTCTACGCTCATTGCACTGTCGGTGAAAACCTTTTGACAGAGGTAACATTTTATGGAAAAAAGATAAAAATAAAAAAATGCAGCTGGAATTAATATATGTATATATACAGTGAAATTTACGTTTGTATATCTACGTGCAGTTCTGATCGTTTTTCCATAGTGCGTGCAAATATTTTTTTCACAGAGTGCTAAAGTGTGCCAAGCGTTTTATGATTGCCATTGGTACAATATGTCGAAGACTAATGCGCGAATGATAATACTATGCATGGCAAGATCGCAAAAACCGCTCTGCTTGACAGCTGGCAAATTTACCATCTTTTGCCTCAGCACTTTGACCGACGTAAGCTGATGATTTACATGTGCATTTACGAAATTTTTAAAAATACAAAATACTTCGCCTAACTTTAAATAAGATATCTGTATTATTGTCGCTGTTAAATAAGAATACAAAAAAACATGGTTCAGAAATAAGTCGTTTTAACAGGTTTTGAAAACATCCATGGGATATTTATCGGTGTTACGTTCTTTTTTGTAACGTCGTTAAAGAGCAATAATTTACGGAAGCGTGTGCAAAGATAATTTATAAATTAATAATACTCAAAATAGAGATAAATGTACAATTTATAATAAAGAGAGAGAAGATAGAGAGAGAAGAGCGTTATATTATCATTCAAAAACTATGATTATCTCTATATAACATATTATGTAAAAAATATAATTATTTTAAACAAATTTTATACATTTTATAAAAAACAAGCTCATTGTTTAAGATACCGTTTGCGTGTTATACAAGGAATAGATTTGCACAAGTAATATACCTCAGTTGATTCGCATTCAATTTTAAAAGAGGTTGCTCGATTTAATATCATCTTATATAATCTCAATATATCTCACGGCAAATTTCGCTACTATTATTACGACTACTATATACGTGTCTTACAAGCCTAAATGCCAGAGATTATCGTCCGAGGTGATTTGAAACTAGATTAACAGGTCGATCACGATTATCGAGTCATTAAAAATGAAGCAGAGAAAATTGATAATTAGAAAAATAATAACCAACATTTTTTCTCGTTTCACCGCAATATGAATATTTTGCTGCGACCGTGAGACCCTTACCTTAAATTTGGATAGCTGCAGACGCACTTGTCGACGAGGTGTCTGCTGACGTGCGAGTCCACGGCAGAGAGGGGATCGTCTAGTTCTAGTAGATAAATATCGGTATCTTTGTAGCGTGCGTATCTTCGTTCGGGACAAGATGATTTTGGCACGTTGGCCAAATTTATCCCTCTCTCTGGTTCACGGTCGCAATGAAGAAACGAGTCTCTATCCCACCTGGCAATCCCACTCTGATTACTTCGTCGTAAAGCCGTGATCAGACTACGGATTGGGATTGAGATTGGATTGAAATTTAATCAATCAGAATAAAGAAAAATAACTTCAAGTTTAGCGAACTTTGCACTAATTGGTCAAATTCAATCCAATCTCAATCTCAATCCGTAGTCTGATCACGGCTTAAACGCGACTTACTCGTTACTTGCCCAAACAGAATGTTCTGCCTCGCGAAAGATTTCAAGAAGATCCACGATATGCTGATCGTAGTTAATTATCGTAGTTAATTTAAACCATAAATTTTGATGCTTCCTCATCAAGAATATTTCGCTTGCAACAGATCTTTTCCATTATGCGAATCCACTTGGCTGATGATAATAACGACGAAGCTTCCGGAAGAAAAACTTTACTACGAGTATAATCACACGCCGAAGATATTTTCGCAAGTGTCGGTGACCGGATTCGACGATACTTTTGTATCTAGGACCCATTAATACATTTTTTTCGTTTAAAATTTTTACCTGTAATGAGTAACACACAGAAATGTATTAGACGTCAGAATATGATATCTCTGTTAATTTCTTATTTCTCCCTTTTATTATATGTATTATATTTTTAGGGAAACTTAACCCCACGTACGTTTTATCATTTAGCGGGTAGCAGGTTTCGCTTACAATGCTGTACCGTTACTGTCGTCGGAGTTAACACAACGGATACATTTAATTATGCGCGGCACGCGAAAACGATTACGCTAATAATATTCCTAAGTATTTATAAGAAGTTTAATGGCTATCCGTATTATGTTTATTATGCTCGCTGCAGTTTTTCTACACTGTACCAAATATAAAGAAATAGAAAACGCGGCACACGGATATGGTGAAGAAGCGAAAAGGAGCGACCTTTCATTGAGACGGTAAGATAATTAGTGCGCGAAGAAAAA